GTGTCTCAGAAGCCCTCCAATAATCAAATTTGTTTTCCTGAAACCAAGAAAAATTAGTCTCAAACAATCAAAACGGTTTTTAAAACCTCTAGGAAATGTGTTTGCCCGGATCGTGGTCACCAGTGTCCACACCTGTCTCCCCAGATGCCTTTTTTTTAGATAAAACGCAAGATAAACAACTTTTTTTTTCAAACCGCTCCACAAATTCTCCCATGCACGTATTCTCCAATATCATCACAACAAAACCATAAAGTTTGTTTCCACAGATATGACACAATAATCCAATAAACCAATAAATTAATGAACTAGCAGAATCCCAATAAAAACACCCGGCCACCCGGCCAGCACAGCATGTCAATATCATACATTTTTACCAACAAAACCGCAAAAGCAAAAAACAGCAAAAAATATATATATATATCCCATGTTTTTACCTTATTCTGAAGCATGATATATATCCAAAACAACCCACACTAGCTTATCTCCAAACCTGGAGGCTATTGAACGTTATTGACTTTGTAGTAAATGTTTGAAGAACGAACGTGAGAAATAAGGCGACCTGATTGGTAAAAAGCGCTGTCATTCATTGTATTTTCAGCCATTCAGAGGCCTTAGGGGGTAAGATTTCCTCTAGAAGCCTCAAGCTGCATTCCACCTGACTTTTAGGTGTCAATCATTGACTCAGAAGGGGTAATCAATCCGTTTTTTATAAGTATCTTATCAGTGCTCCTTTTTTTCACACCAGAAGGCAACTCTGAGGTTTTTTATCATTGCATAACAGCAGATAAAGGCTCTCTAGCAGTGTCTAAAGGTTTTTATAGCAATTACAATGGTTTTTATTCTTATTTTCAATATTTTTATGATTTTTTATTATAGGCGTGAAATTTCATTCCAGGTCCAGTCTTCACAAAACATGATGTAGAATTTTTTCTAATTGATCAATTTGTCCCAGAGTTTTATCCAAGGTAGTAGTCACCTAAAACAAGGTTTTAAAATCATTCCCAAGCCTTTGACATGCATATACTGTAGTTGAAAAATCTGACCTCTGAAGACCAAAAAATCATTTTCGCCTGCTGTTTTTTGGGTGGGGGTTTTTATATGTTTGTCTGCTGAGTGGACACATTAAGAAATATAAGACATTTGACTGTTCACACTCAAAGCCAAGGGGGTTACCTTCAAATTTAAGACATGAACCAGGTTCTTGCTATGTTCTGCTGCAGAGATATAACAAATGTTTAAGGGGGAGGAAATTGCAGGTGGAAATTGGCTAAATGTGTCAATGGTGAGATGAGGTAATCTGTCTTGTTTAGGCAAATTTTCATTAAGGTGAAAAATGCAGTCAAATGGTAGTTAAATCGGCATGCTTTTAATGCCTGGCTAGGGTTAGGGTTACAAGAACTATAGAATTTTGTACGAAGTTACATTTCTAGCTGCACTTTCAATGACAAAATGAAGAGAGATTACCCATTAGAACAGGTATTCTTCACACTTTTCATCTGGCTCAGTTTTTTTTTTTACAAAGCTGTAACAGAGTGATACTGTGATGGACTGGTATCCCACCCAGGGCGAATCCTACTTTGCACCCGTTGCTTGCCGGGCTAGGTTCCGACTCCCTGCAGCCCTGAACTGGATGAATCAGATGAAGCAAATGGATGGATAGAAAATAAATTGACACAATTGTGATAATTACAAATTTCAATTATACAAATAAGTGGATGTAAGTAACAAAACCTTACTCATGACTACAGCATGAATCCTATTCTTAGGAGGGATATGTAATCATTTTTATGACAGTTTATAAGATTATTACTTGGAATGTGCATACAGTAGATTGTTTATTGACAGTTACAACAGAAGCCGGAACTGAAGTCGGAACCTACATCTCGAGGGTGTACCGGGATTATTAATGATGCACTTATCTGTGCTAATTACTGGAAGGACTTTGTCCATTAGTTAGCAGAACTACAGCACTTACAAATACTACAGTACTTCCAATGTTCAGCAATTCAAGGCTGTGCCTTATTCTGCTGCTCAGTGAACCGACAGAAGAGATTGTGTTACTAAAATGCATGATGTCCAGCTCTTAAAGTGTGAATGTACTCTCTAAAAGCGTGGGTTTAGAGAGTATGATCCAAGTACCACAGCTTGGAGTATGGGTCAAGTCACTTGCCAGCTGTAATTGTAATTTGTCTCAGTACCACTTGAGGCAGAATTAACACTAGTCATGTCAGGGATTCCTTCAGATTTAATTAAATGGCTTCCACAAATGCCTGGGTGTCCACAGATACATGGTAACATCAGTGATGGATGCACCTCTCTTCTAATCAGCACTGAGCTTCCTGCACCTCACTGTCGTGGTCAGAGAATTTCAGGAGTTGAATGGTTCAATTGAATGTTTTGATCCAAAGACCCTGGGTGGCCTTTTTCTTTCTGTCCAAATTCCAAATGGGTACAGGGTGCTTTGGTTTGCGTTGAGACATAAGTAAATAAAAAAATGATTCTAAAATTAAAAAAAGAAATCTCATGCCCTCATTTAAGTACTTCCTTAGTGAACACATAAAGTTTATTGGCTCTGTACTCATTCCATTATTCTTCTCTTACCTTAAGCATTGCTTTTACATGTCACTCCAACAAAACAGTTAGTTTTCCTAAATATAGCAATAAATACATTAAAAAAACTAATAGTGTTTCAAACAATATTTTATTAAAGAAACATAAATATACGTTAATGCCAATGGTTTCTCAGTAAGCCCATACTAAACACATACAACTTATACTTCAAATGATGGAGTAAGCAAAGTAAACACAAGAAATTGCTTACTTTTAACCCATGGCTGTTAATAATCTTAATTATGTATGTTAAATGACTTACAATTTACTATTACAGCTCTTTTGCTCAGCACAGTTGTCTTGATTGCAAGGAACCCAGCTGAACATATGTAACTACAATATTTAAGTCAAAAACAATAGTATACAGTATGATAAAAAAACTTATATGTACCATAAACAGCCTTATTCACAAAAGATTCTGTGAACTGAAAAAGGAAATATGCAAATAAATATCACAGTGTAATATATATTGGAAAGACATCGCTGAATAAAATTGTAATTGTTTCAAGTGAAATTTTATAGATATTTGAAAAAATAACATTATGCTGTAAACAAACACTAAATCACACATAAGACAAATTTGTTTATTTGTCCTTATATATAGCTTACTTCAAAACCTTCAGGCAAATATCCTTCATTTATTATAATACATAGGTAAATTACATTTTATTACAATAAGCAAAAATGGTGTTATTCCTTTAGAAGGAACATACATTAATTTACACTTTTCTTTCTGGGTTTCTATTTTTACCACTAGAGGGAGAGCATATCAAACAAATGATGACTTGTGACGACATTCAAAATCCAAGCTACTCTGGAGGCTGTAGAAATGCAAAATACCCAATTTAAAGGTCAAGTTACCATGAACAACTCACTGCAACTGAATAGATCCTCCCACTACTTAATGAAGTGCCCAACATGAAAAACACATGTGCTTTTGTTGAAGTTCTCATGCTCATTATTCACATTTGTGAGCTGCACCCTTTAATATCACATTGATTGTTCTGAACAGGAACTTCTGTATTCATCAGAAGTATTACATACTGTACACAAAGACAATTATAAGATGTTTCAATTTCCACATGCAATACGAGGGTTAAATACACATTCAAACCTATGCAGTATTTTCTGTAAACTACAAATGAGAACCCTTAGTTTCCTTTTAGGAATTCACCAGGGGACTCTTTCAAAAATACCACAGTGATATGCAAGTAATATACTAAAGTTAATCTAACTCTTAAGGCCCAGGCTCTTTGTAGTTTTGGCTACCACTTTTCAACAGGATTTCAAATATCAGTATTTCTTTAAAAATACTGTTTTATATAACATTTAAAAATACCTAATTCTTTTTATATTTTCATATATTTTGATATGATATTACAGAATACATTCTTTTACACGATTCCATACTAAGAAAAGGGATTAACTTCCAATCCTGTTTGTTTGGAATGAAGGAGACTTGCATGTGGGATCACTCCCAACAGTACCTAAGGGCTAATATACAGTGCAAAAAGCACTAAATTAATCCATGAGAATTTTAATCTTCATACAGTTAGTACATTTTACACTGTGTATACTTTGAGCACTAGATCACAGCTTCACAAGAGGCATACTGAATACCGCCTATAACACAATCTGAAAGCCATTACTGGTTAAACACCCAGTCCATAGACATTGTACATTCATGAGGTCAAGAGGAATATTAAAAAATACACTGTAAAACTAGGGTTTCGAAGTCCCGATCCTTGCTTTTTCACAAATAAAATGCCTTATTACAAACAAATCTAAAACTCCTCAGTTCATTTTTTGTACAAATATTAAGAATTAAACATATTGTTTAGATGTTATAGTTATGGCTGTTATGTTACAGATATGTTATAGTTTGTACATCTCCTTTAGTTTTTCTATGTGACAAAATGAGAAATTCAACATCTCACTGATGCAGACACCACCCCGCCACCCCGCCACCCCCACCCCACCGCCATTTTCACTGACCCCCTATGTTTTTTAAATTTTAAGGCTCCTGGTTGTGACTAAGAACGCCTTGAATACAGTAGTATTGGTCCTTGAATTTAATCTTATAAATGAGCATGGTATCAAGACTCCAAGTAAGCATTTGAAATAAAGCATTGAGATGCTATGCCTGAACAATAGAAAATGGCAATATCATTCACTAGCATCATTATTTCTAAAAAGGAACAAGTAAAGGTTTATTCCATGCTGAAAAGAGAAGAAAATCAACACAATGTTTCAGCTATGGAGCTCAGTAGTCCAGGAACACACGAAGAAGGCTCCAGAGCCTCTCTTTTCAGCATGGAATAAACCTTTACTTGTTCCTTTGCAGCCTACGTATGCTGACACAGCTACCTACTTGAATTATTTCTAAAAGTTTACATTTTTCTAATGTAACTGGACTTACATTTCTTTAACAATTATTGTCATGAGTTCTTATACTGTACAGCATGTCTTTGTGGCCTTCTTGTTGTGACTTCCTGAGAGATTTGTCACAGATTCCAGGTCTTCTTCATCACGATTCTGTTTTGTCACCTCACTGTAAAATTCACAAAAAATGACATAACATTACGTTTGTTCATTTTGATTATGCCTAAACTCATTTGTTTCCATTCCATAGATTACACTTATTGATTTATTGCCTGTTTGCTGTTTGTACAGTAGCTTCTTCAAGCTCAGTGAAGTATAGTACGTTATCTGTACTTCACTAAGCTTAAAGAAGCTACACATTAATTGGTCTTTATGTTGACATTTAGGTTTTCTAGAAAATGTGGGTGTAGCAATAAAAGGCAAACTCTTAGGCTATTTGATTAAAAGCATAGAATTATAATTTAAATTAAGGGAAGGTTTGTTAAAATTGTACAATGTTCTAGTAACACCTCATTTATACTGTAATATTTCTTACAAATTCTGTCACATCATTTTAGTCCCAAATAGAGAAGATAATGTAAACCTTATGAATCACACATTTCAAACAATACTTATTTTGATTAAAAATGTAAAAATATAAAACAGGGGTGACATACAGTAGTGACAGAGTGGTTAACTCATAGCTCTGGGACCCTAGGTTCAATTCCAGCCCTCAGGTACTCTCTCTGTCGAGTTTCTATGTTCTCCCTATGTTCCTGTGAACTTCCTCCCCCAATTTCTTCCACAGTCCAAAAACATACTGGTAGATTAATTACCTTCTGGGAAAACTGCCCCAGGTGTGATTGTCTGTGTTTGTATCTACTGTATGTATGCCTTGCAATGGACTGCAATGGACAGTAACTTTAAGCTGCACGTTTTCTAGTTCTTTCATCTACTTTACAAGAAAACTTATAATGATCCACTTTTCTAAGAATCATATAGTAATAAGAATACATGTGTGCGGTATTTGTATTCTACTCAAAATCCCTTTTGGACTTTCTGACTTTTGAAATTTCAGAAAAGTAAGGTATAAAATCCATATTGTAACAAAAATATTGATTCTCTAAAAAAGTTCACCTTTACAATCTAAAACGAATGAGGTACTGGATCGGTACCAGTACTCACCGTGCTAGATGCAGCACTGCTTCAATTATATTCGAACCATCTTTAGCACTTGTTTCACAGAACAGAGAGTTGTAGGTCTGGGGAAAAAAATGACAAATACAGCTTCAAACAGTCAGGAACAGATTAAATTTAACTGATTAATTTAAATTAAATTACATGAGAAAAATAATTTTTATCATGTTATACTGTATACTGCAAATGTGAATAGGAATTTATGGGAATTAAGGTTTATACTTAAAGATAAAGTGATAAATATGAAATGTGTTTTCAGAAAATAACAATTTATAGCCAACTTTCGTGAAAAACACACCCAAAGCAATTTGATTGTTTTAAAAAAATGTCCCACTGAAAATAAACAGTAAAAACAGCATTAAGTAGCACCTCTCAAAGGTTTCACTTTCTGGCCACTCATTTTAGTCTTTAAGGGACTTCACTTCAGAAGATTTAACTTTAAATGCTCTTAGGATGCTGACACAAATTGTGAAGCAATTCATTCAGAAAGATTCAAACAGATGTATATACAGTATATATGATAAATATCATCAATAGCCATTACAGGTATCATCAATAGAAACTACAGGTATGGTTCCTACTCTTTCACATATGCGAGTAGAAACGGAATATATTTAATTAGTCACAAGGTAATGCATGAACATATGCTTGACTGGAACAACATTTCACTTGCTTGAAAGTGAATACTTTTTTAACATACTTTATGTTGTATACTAAACCTGACATATTTTAGTGACATAGCATAATACAAAACACTAGTTCCAATTAAAATGTAATGCATACTACCTATAGTTTCTCTCCTTCTGTGTTCTATATATTCACTATAAATTCTATTTTTTTAATGTGCTGTATACTGAGAGGCACTAAATGTGCAATAAACAAGCATTTGAACTACTGACATTTGTTGTGTTTTTAATGCCACTTAGGATGCAGTCATCAAATTATGTAGGGGGTACATACCTGAACCTGCAACTAAGTTGCTTTTTTCATATTTTTACAATATACGTGAAGGATTTGTTTATTTAATGAGCCTAACAAGTACAGTAAACCTATGTTTAGAGAAACGATTCAATGTGTTTATGCTACACATAAAATTACAATATTATTCTTTTATAAAAAATAAAAAGCACAAACATAATTATTAATTGCTGCATTTTATGGGGGGTTGATACTTTGTATGTAATGACCCTAACACAAAGCTAAGCATTACAGACACAATCTAATGCATTCATACAGTATGTAAAATTACAACATAAGTAAAAAAATGATTTAACACAACTATAAAATTAATGGAATATTTAATAGCACATACCTTAATTAATGAGAAACAATGCTTAGAGGCATGTGTCTTTGATCTTGCATACAAAATATTTAAGTATTATTTCCTCAATATTTTCTCTGCTTAGTTATAATAGTTGATTTCATGGGAGCAGATATTTAGCATGTTCTACTCTTTGTTCTCTGTTTTAAACAACAGTATATGCCACAGAAAGCCAGTTCACATGCAATCTTTGATTAAAAAAAATCCCTTTTCATATTCTGTTTAAAACATCATTTTTTGTTTCCAATGTAATCACTTTCCAATGTAATCAGTCTGCTTCTTCGCTGCACCAGTATCACTTTTCACTTCAGATTTACACTTGCTGGACATGGTTAGAATAAATTCACAGGAATAAAATAAATCAAAATAAATGCTAAGTAAATAATATGCATACATGTAAATATATTTAAGTCGTGTACTGCATAATTCAGTCACTCCTTGTATACTGTACGTAAGCTTTTTGTAAAAATTGTAATACATTTAAATGGAAAATTTTGTTTTACATATACTGTAGAAATACAACATAAAGCTAGAGTTGTATTTTAAGATTCCTCTTACCATTGCTAGTTTTTCTCCATAGCTGGTTGGAACACACTTTATTCCTTCCTCAGTTGCCTGCTTACGTAAGTCTGCCTTGTTTCCAACAAGCATAATGGGAATATCACCTTGGGTGACATCCTGATGGGTGAAACACAAATATAACTTTCAGCACATAAAAGTGTGGGAAGTAAACCACAAATGAAAGCGTACATATAAACCACATGTTTAGAAAAAAGAATGAAAATATCTCAGAATTTCAAATGACACTCAATACTTTTCCCAGTGTATTAATCCTCATCACCTCACTAAAATGTTTTGCACCTCAAGATAATGTATTTTAGAAACACACAGTCTTCCAGTATAATTTAGCCTGCCATTAATTCCATTGGAAAAGAAGATATCATGGAACCTAAGGGCAAAAGCAATGGCCAAAAGTAATATTCTATTAAAAGGATAACCAAACCTTGACCAACATCTTTTTGCAATATACTAATAAATAATGCATTCATAAAACATTAGTGTTTTGATATGTATTGCATTGCATATTTAATAATGTACAGTAAAGGTGTTCAGAAATACCCAAATATAGAATGCTGCTATTCAGAATATACTGGTTCATACGTATGTAAGTAACCATAAGATTTAGCCAAAAAAAAACATTATAAAAACATTAAAGAGCATATTATACTAATTAATAACATGATTCAAATACTCACATTCACTGGATGTACAGTATTAGAGAGTGCTTTCAATATTAACAGCTAAAATTAACATTGTTTTTAAACTAAATGGTGCCAGTGATCAGTACTCCTCAATAAAGCTTTATTAGTTTATGTGCACAACTTGTTACCATACAGTAGGTTCTTTTTTCACCCAACAGTTGATAAGCCACATACTTCCAGGGAGCTGAGACCTCAGTGTGTCTTCCAACATACCTCAATCGTATCCACCCATTCTCGTACATTCAGAAAGCTCTTTTCACAAGTGACATCATACAGCAGCAGCACCCCATCTGCCCGTCTGAAGTAGGATTTAGCAATACTTCGAAATCTGGAACAGAGCATTGGGAATTATTTTTATAAAAATGATGTCTGTGTGGAACAACAGTGAAAAAAATGATGGAACTCCCAAATGTGATTCTATGATGTTGATTGCAGAAAAAAGATTACTGAGAAATTATGTTCCACGTTCAAGTCTTTATGAGAAACTGGAAGTTAAGATTTGAGTGTAAAGTGGAGAACAGATAAATATATGTACTACTGTAGTGGAAAACTGTTAATGAATAGTTTACATCAAAACCCCTTAGTAGTAATCCATCCATTGTAATAAGAACATAAGACTTTAACATGAGAACATGAGAAAATAAGAATAGGTACTAAGCAAAAGGAGTCTCTTGCTTCATCTTGTTTATTTTGTTGCTGGTAGCTAATTGAAGGCATGGGCTTCAACAATGGATCTCTATCCTAAACTTTGACTAAATGAAAATGAATCAACAAACTTACCTTTCCTGCCCTGCTGTGTCCCAGAGCTGTAGGACTGTAGGTTCTCCATCAACAATCAATGTCTTCATTTGAAAGTCAACACCTAGAATAAGAGTTAAAAGAAAATACAGCTCTGAGAGAACTAAAAAATATACACTTTGCTATACAAAATCGTCAGATACTAGAAACAGAGTCAGAAGCTTCATTTATGCTATGAGAATAAAAATATACTCTAAGCATTCACTGGCATTTTCTACTATTACAACAGCTTTGACTCTCATTCATATAACATAATTTGTGTGATGAGAGACCAATCGTGTTGTTTAGTATTAATCAGGCCCAAAAACTCCTGATCACAACAACTCAAGGTAAACTAATGAATTAGTAAATGAATTCATTGTATTTACACAGCTCTTTTATTCCCTAAGGATCCTGTCACGATCATAAGCCCCTCCTCTTAAGGATGTTCCAGCCTTCCTAGTTTATTATTTATCTCCTACACCTGTCTCTGGTTCCAGCCCCCGTCCTATTAAAGCCAGACGTTCTTGCCAATCTGGGCTCAGCTTTGGAAGATGGATGCCCGGAAGCAAGCCTACCCGCGAGTCCAGGAGCGACTCGACAGCATACGCTTTACAACGGCGTCCTGACCATCTGGGTCCGGGACTGGGAGTGTCTGGTCCCGTTACCCCCCTTCTATTCCCCCAACCCTTCGCGGGATCCGGCCCCGGCTCTTAACCTAATTTGTCTGTGTCAGGATGGATCACCCGGCTTTGGACATTGGCTTTCCTTGGATAACCTTACGGACTCCCTTGGACTTGTTTGCCCTGGACACATCCCCCGAACACCACTGCACCTTGGACACACCCCCTGTTCTTCTTCCAGCCCCTAACCTAGTCTTTTTCCCTGTGTTTGTCTAACTCCCTTCCGGATTGTGCTGTTCGCAAAGGGTCCTGAAAGACGCTTTGTGACGGATCCTAAAGTGCTTTACATATAGGAGGGGACACACTTCTTCCACTACTGAAGTGCAGTTCCCATGTGGCAACTATTGTAAGCCATCAGCCCCACTACACAGCAGACTAAGTACAGAAACAAGCAATTTCTTCCAGTCGAATTAAGAGAGAAATGTAGATAGTCCAGACTGTTTTATTCCACGGTGGAATTTAGCCAGGCCCAAAAATAGACTTATTCATTCAAATTGTGTCATAGGCTCCATAACTACAATGGATCTTACAATACTTAGTATTGTAATACCTAATCCATCACATTAACCAATTAAATCGAAATGACTCACACCCAGGTGTTTATTATTATGAACACAATTTGTTTCTCTCAGCATGTCCATAAAGCTGCTAGACTAAACTCTTACCAATACTTTCTACATGGCTATTGTGTTGTACTACAGAATACCAATCACTCAAGACTTTGTACTTAAAAAAAGGCTAAAATTTCATTAGAAGACTGCCAGGGAGTTGTTTCTGAATTAGATGGGAAAACATTGAATTAAAAGAGTAGAATAATACAAAATGTCATAAGACTTCTGCACATTGGTACATTGTCTTTAGTCCTGAAACAAAGCATGAAGCTAACAATCTATCGCATGTACCCAGAGTAGCGCTGGTGTTTCCCCGGAATTCATTCTTGCACAGCCTTAGCAAGAAGCTGGACTTCCCAACAGCTGCATCTCCAGCCAACACTATCTTGTAAGCCTTTTCCGAATTTGGGTACTTGAAATTGCTGTCATCTTGGTCTGCCTAAAAAACATGAATTAGTTCACGAAAACACAAGGACAGGTACTGAGTAGATGGAATCTAAAATCTCATTTAAATTCTAAATCCATCCACGCTAAAATGTTTTTAGCTTAAATGTTTTTTATCAGTACACGCTCTGCAACTTCTGAGAGCAAAAACGTAACAACTATGAACCTGATTCCATCCTTAGAGGTCACTCTATGTATGTGATCTTTCCTGGTCCGCAAAATATATGACAAGCAAATCAGAGTGAATCCAATAACAGGGATCAGGTCACCATTTTCTATGAGCCATATTGTTGCAGAAAACTACAGATGAGTGCGGAAATAAATGATCCCTTAGAGCAAGGTTGGTTAAATGCAGTTCTAACAAACTATAGAGTACCATGATAAAATTAATACAGATTTAAGGTATGACACATATTTTTTTCCTTGGGAAGAAATCTTATTTTAGTGATGTCATTAGTGTAGTAGAACTTGGATTTCATATTATTTGCAGCATACTGTACAAAGTATTTCTATTAATATGCACTCTAATATTAATATAGAGAGTGGATGTGCACTTACAATTTACAATTTACTGTGAATTTCTAAATTATTTTTTGTTTTCTATGTATGATATAAGCATGTTATTTAAAATTGGTATATGCTCTAAAATCAAATATATTGCCTCTGAACTCAGTTGCATCCCTCAATACTTTTACCAACCATGAGCGAAATGAATTGGGTTCATTAGTAGAGCTACACAAATTTAACATGGAAACTGAAATCCTTTGTATAGTGCTTTGTGTTAACAAGATTTTTATTACAGCGAAAAAAGTTAAGAAACATTGTTCAGAGTGTTCTACTGTTGTAAACCTACAGCACTGCCCAGTTTAGTCATCTGTGCAGATGTGAGGTACCGTACCTGTGGGGAGATGGCAGGGATGCATCTTCGAGTTGAAGCCCCAGAACTGCTCCTGCTGACTGGATTTGATGGTTTCCAGTCTAATACTGAACCACTGTTGGAACTGCAGGCCACCTCGTCTCTGATTTCTGGCACCTAGTAATGGTGATTAAGCATTTTAGTTCCACCAGAATTTCAACACAACCAGCTTTTTTTTCTATCCCTGGAGTTATGACGTACAAAATACAGTATGTCTAATCAAGCAGCACGAAATGCACAGAACAAAAGACTACTATAAGAAAGTACACATAAGTAACTTTTAAATACACAATTTGACTTTTGAATTGTCTTTTAAAGTAGGTTGTACTGCATTTACCTAAGTTTGAAATTTATTTTTGCAAGGTACTTTATTCCTATCAAGACTTTCATGCAACATTGACATTATTCTCTCTCGCACATGATACAAATTGCAATTACTGAGCTTAAAGGATTCCAAAAATATATGTTTTTAATGTTGAATGTTTCAAAATGCATTGATGTTTAGATGCTACAAAGAAAAACCCAAAAAACAAAGGGTAATTCCATGGTTATGTTGCATTGGAAAGATCAGTCTGCTTTGTGCATAAATGAGGAGTAAAGGTCACACTTCAAAGTGAGAGTGGCGTACATCTGTATCAGAAGCATCTCCTGCAAGGCTTTCTGTCATCTCTGGTGACCTATGGAAATTCTTTTGAAGCTTGAACTCGGCCTCAGAATCATAGTCGTTGGAGTCTCTGAGAGTGGAAAGGCCGCTGTCGAAGTAGCTCCCAGTTGGGCTCTCCATCTCACAGCTCACCCGGCGCATGGGGTCGCACAGGGCCAGGGAATCGCAGTCCTCATCCACGTAGGAAGAGCGAGAAGATCTGCAAAGTTTCAAGGAAAACACCCACATAAGGAGACCACATTCTGTTCAGGTTCAGAGATCGGGGTATTTTCTTTTTACATTGTACTATAACGGTAAACATTTTGATCAGCAGTTTCCTCCTTCCTCCTTTTTTATAACAGAAGTTAACTCTCTACCAGGAACCGGAAATAGCAGCACAATTGACAGACAAAAGGCAACCATGACAATGTGGTGGTCTATAAGTATTCTAGACAAAATGCGCCACCTTCTATAGTGAAATAGTTAAATAGAAACCATGACTTACCTGTCAAAATAAGGAGACTGACGCCCACCGAATTTTGGACTGGATCTAGAAATTGTACTTCCTGGGGAGGTGTTGTGCACTCGCTAGGATAACAATAATAACATGAGTATTATACAACACCTTTGTAAAAAATGATAAATTTATATTTGCATATATCAAATGTATGCTGTAACCCTACCTATTCTTAACTTGTAAGAAGTAAGAAGTACAATATTTTTACTTTCAGCAAAAGCATTTGAAGCAGTCAGAGATAACGGCCTTGACTCTGCTGCTGATTCCTGAAAGAAATTGTTCTTTCCAGAAATATGAGTAAATATCATCTGTTCTTCTTTAAACAATATCGCAACATTTATTTTTGTGCCCAGGCCTTAAAAACACATTGGGTGTTCTGCTCCAAAGCTGTTTAATTCAAAAATAAAACCTCAAAGATGCCATGTACATCAAACTGTGTAGTGGACATGATGGCATTCAAGACTGAAAGATCAAATAACCTAGCTATACCATTAAAATAAGTGTACACGGATCATTTGACCACGAATACCAAAGAACTTCATAAACAAAGGGTGGGTTATAGTATATAACTGAGAAAGAAATGGATCTACAGGATGTTGAATCTTTAACTTTATTTCAAACCAATGTTATTTTTTAATACTGTTTTAATACATGACTCCAAGGCAGTTGTAATTGGAGGCAGATATGAATAAAGGTTACTACAGCCTAAGTGGAGAGATTTTGGAGAAACCATTCCAGTGGCCAAACATTTAGGCAATGTTGTCTACATTCAAGCAATAGCTAATGTATTACCACCAAGCTGTTGACATACTGTATTTAGTTGCTAAAGTACTGTGGAAAAGTTTTGTCCCAGGAGCTGGGACCTTAAACATAACAGATAGAGTAGCTGCTAATCAAGACAGGTGAACATTGCTGGACCCTCAGCAGAAAGAGGGACCAGAGAAGATTGCAGGAATAAGCTCCAAACTTTTCCAGGTATTCAGTCCATCATAACTTATAGAGGACATTATTAAATTAAATATGAAACTAAAAGTACTGTCACTATCGAAACTACTGCTGTTCAAGGATCCATCAATGAAGATACCATACTTCTAAAACTGTAAGTTGCATATTTTAAACCAAGTAATGTGTAGGTACTTACTAAGCTTCTGTTGTATTTTGTGAAACTGTTTTCCAGTGCACTTCTTAGACCATCATTGCTGTCATGCAGCTTCCTGTTTGCCGACCTTTAGAGATAATGAAATGACACATTAAGAGTAGCCTGAATATATAATCTGGGTCTGACAAATGTAAAATAAGGCTACATTTAAAGCAACAAGAAGATGAAAATTTAAAGCTTTTGATAACCTGCTGTTACTAGATTATGTTTAAGTAACAAATAAAAGTCACAATAAAATGAATAAAAACAATACTATTTTGTTGTTTCCTATGATTATTAAGCCTTCTATTGCAAAGCCAGCTGTATGAAATTCCCATTTAAAAGTTATATTTCTGTATTAACAGTATCTATAAACAGCTCAGTACCTGTAAATCTACTGCATGTCACAGACAGATTAACAATGTTTGCAAACTTACTGAAGCATCTCAATTTGCCGGGCTAAATTATCCCTTTCATCAGAGTATCCTTTCATTATTGCTTCATCCCTGCAAAGAATGAAAACAGAATCCACTACTACAGGAAACTAAAGATGTTGGTAGTATTGCATTCCTAATTGAAGTCTGAAAAAGAAAACTTTAACGTGGCAAAATCAAAAGATCAAGGAACACTTGGCTGAAATTTTGGTTAGCAACTGGTGTTGCCAAGTAATCCTGTGCTGAAGAATAAACTCCTGTGACACCACTAACCTCACTGTCAGGTGCAATGACGTCATTTCAGGATATCCTGTTTCTACCTTAACAACTGGGCAATCAGTGGAAAACACCCGAAAGGCTCGAGTTTTATTGTAGTGCACAGAACTAAAATCACATACTGTAGGAAAACATAAAACATAGCTAAGCACGCTAACAGCAGGGCTGAGGGGTTGTCACTGTTCTCTTAACATGGATTACACTGTGCCTTAAGCCACAAGAGAAATGAAATTAAAAACCAGAGATTAAGAAAACATCATGGTGGATTTTTTTGAAATCTCTATATGACCCCATCTAAAATATCTACATGAAAATTATAATGATAACTGAATTAACTGAAAAACTCACATGATTTAGAGTCATTCAACTTGCATTTTAAGGTGTAAGGTGAACTTTTCAGAACTTTAGAAATTTACTCAAAGAAAGGCACATTTCACGAATAAATAAAAAGAGTTCTTATGAAGACGTCTTTGTAAACACATGCAAATTCAAATCCTGAATATGAATCCGGTTGACAGATGACTGCCATAAAGTTAGCACTAAAGAAAAAGACATACCAAGTGAATTTTCTCACCTTTCAAAGTTTATACTTTGATCAGTGTATTCACTTTTCAAAGAATCAAGCTCACTCTGAAGGAATGCAATATTAGTTTGAGATTCAAGTAGTTCCTTCTTCAGCTGTTGATTCTCCTACAAAAAAGATTTTTTTTCTTAAGAATGTTTCATGAATGCAATAGTTTGTGAGGTCTGAAGATTTTAAAACTTAAAATTAACCCTTACCAGTGTAACTTCATTTATTTTTCTTTTTAACCCCACCACCTCATCTTTCAGATTGATACTTTTGTATTGTTCCTCAATCTGCAAGACAAAAAAAGCATCTCCATCTGTAAATATTATTAATATAATTTCAGATTGCTTTCAACTGCCTACCTAGTTAGAGACTTAAACTCACAGGACCCATATAGCTTTTACATTTAACTATCATTTAACCATAAATGTTCTGTTTATGTATCAGACAAACTCCAAGTTAACCTCTGCATGCATATTTTATATGTTTAATATACTTTATACACTGATACATTTTTCCTGTAATCCTTTTATCTACACGATGAACCTACTGTACCTTGTCTGACAACAATATGCACCGCGAAAAAATCTATGTGATGTACACTATTGGGGTAGCATTCTGTGTGAATTGTGAATGTCTTCATAAAGTACCAACTTTTCACATTTTTAAACCAGTTTGCAAAAATAATAAAAAGATTATATTATATTAATAGTCTTTCTTCTATCAATTCCAGTGCGAAACAAAGAAAAAATAACTATTATTTAAATAAACGTACTGCAGGCTACTAAATAGCTAGATATTCAAATTTTCAGCATGATTGCACTTTATGATTATGATTTTAGATGCTAGAAGAATTACCATTTTCATCTTCTGGACTTTCATCTGTAGTTGATAGACTTCAGATTCATACTGGCGCTTGAGTTCATTAAGCATAGCTTCAGCCTTTTTGTTTTCCTAGAAGACATTAAATAACATTACAATTATTCTGTGGAAATCCCATTATCATAACGCTAATCAATGCAGGAGTGGTTTTAGAACTAGTGACAAATGACAAGACTAAATAGTGTGCTATTATTAAACATTGGAGGCCTTGTATTCCAAAAATGCAATGGTTAAATCCCCACTGCTTTCCATGGAGATTTTACATTTTAAAAATAGAATCTCCTCCTAATGGAAGGAATTTCTCACACTGTGTATGAGAAATGTGAAGATAGATACTTTGTTAACACTCCTTATTTTTAAAAAACAAAAATTCACTAAAGTATATGCTGTGTGAATAAGTAGTTACTGCAAAGAAAGTATTTCTGTTGAGAAACTATAATCCTGGCATTTGCAAAACTTTGGATCATAATCCACTCCTACATAAGGGTACTCATTACAGCCAAAATAAAAATGAAAATGATGTCATAAGGATTATGTGGAGCAAACCAGCAACATGGAATGTAAAAACAACACAAGTACATAAGTGATCTTATAATTAATAACATGCCTTTAAACACATGCAAAGGATGTATTTTTTATGCAACAGATGTTGCATATTCCTTTTTAATATTCACTTATAAATGTACTGTATGGTTCAATTTTTTATAAAGGCTGTGAATAACACATTTTTGCCTGAATTATGAATGTGTACTGTATGTTTATGACATGCATATTGTGGTTATAAACTTTTTTGCTAAGTCCTGCACCAGCTCTGTCTGTTTTATTGTCTGAGAAGTAATTGAGGAGTATCTTGCTACCTACAACAACTTGGAAAAAGAAACCTATATACACATCTGTCATCCAGAGCAAGAAATAGACAACCCCAGCCTGGTCATTTTACATGTTCATTTTAAGATTAATCTCATGTATCTGTAAATAAAGTATATACTGCCAATTGATTTTTAATACTGCAAATGTTCCTTTACCTCAGCACCGGATTCATTTAATAAGGGTATTGTTTCATGAACACACTTTCCTCTTTAAAACATTAAGTGTGTTTTTCTGGATATTTTCTATTATCTTACAATATTTATAGTATCTCCCCTTCTCCCTCATTTCTACATTTAGATCTTTGAATTCTTGAATGAGTAGTACTGTGATGCAAATAAATCATTTCTTTAATATATTGTATTATTTTTTTTAACTTGAATGCGCATTAAACAACATACTGTAGCTTGACATACACCATACTCCTTGACAGTATAAATGAGAGAACTAGAGCTGTATCTGAGATAAAATAGAAAGGACTACTGTAAATAAACTGACATAATGAATATTACACTTTGACCAGTGTAGTTAATTTATCCCTTGATGATCTTCCTGAAATATTCTAAAAACAATCTGCTTGTACATGCAAATAAAATTGTTTCTGGAGCCAGAATCTACTGAACACCTACTTACGTGCTGTACATTTCACTGTTATTTCCTTTATCAATTTCAAGAGAAACCTTGAATGTCAGCCAAACAACATCTCTGGTAGGCTTAAATTAGTAGCATAGACTAGTATTATTAGGTAATTCTTTCCATTCAAAGGACAGAAGAAAGCAAAAAAGTCAAGGTCTTCAATAGGAAAACTTGCAAGGTACAGTACTATGGAGACATAAGAGCCATATGAATATATAGAATGAAAAGCACATATATATATGTATGTATGTATTTATTTATGACTATGAGTTTGCTGTCCAGTTTCTTAAACATATTTTAAAAATCAAATATTTTGGAGCCAACATTCAAAGTTGTGAATTGAAACAATGTACTGTAGGTATACATTGTAAAATGTTACTGTATATAAAGGCTATTGTAGCAGTATTACAATAAGTAACAATAAGTAAATAATTAACTTTAACAGACATGCTTCTGAAGATGAGTATGAAATAAAAATAAGTGGTTTGGTGTAGATCAAAAGTAGAACATATAGTGTATACAGTATATACATAAAAATCCTGTATGGTCACTCTGTTGCTTTTCTATTTTAAACTACCATAACGTTTTAAGAACTAATATTTTTATTTTGTAGCGAACTATTCTCTTATGGGCAATCAGAAGTGGGTAGTCCAAACAACTTTACCAGAATTCTCTAATTTTTTAGACTGAAACCATTTCTAAGACCACATTTATCAGTCTTGTTTTTCTCTCTCCATATAACCATCCCAAAACATTTCAAACGGCTTAGGTTCATTGTACTACATTAGAAAGATCTAACCTTAATTTGCTTTTACTTTGCAACCAAGTTACTTAAAATTGGTGTTGTTGTATGTTTGGTGTAACCATTATGATGAATATCAACCCTTCTCCCATAAATTGTTTTCTTGTTGGTGTTATCTGTGGAAAAACTAAACTACACATTTGTTTCTCTCTCGTTAACTCTTCCCCTTTCTTACACAAGTTGTTCCATGCTGCTAGAAGTGATAACTGGCTACCTTGCTGTTCAGTTCTTTTATTGTCTCCTTATTGTATGAGGTCAGCTCACTGAGGCCACTAAGGCTAATCAGCTTAGCCAACTACTCATCAGAACATAAAGGAATGCTATCAGTACCTAGATCTGTGGCAAGAAAATAATTTGCATTGATTTGACAATTCAGTGAACCTCCCCTGTAAAACAGAGCTTCACTATGATGTTGAACTGAGCAGTTCTGCAATCAGTCTCTGAAGCCATCCATCCATCAGATTTAATAATGTTTCTCAATACAAAAAAATATCAGCCTAAAACAATCAAATCCATTCATAAAATTAATCTATTTCAATAACGTATCTTTTTAATGCAAACGCTCAATTAGTGAAAAGTCCAAAACATACAAATAATTGTGATACATACTACAAAATTGACACTTCTATATATTTTCATGAATCAAAAACTAAACATAAAGAAACACACATTTTTTCAGTTTACAAGGACATGGTAATACCAATAGCACTGTTGTAAATGCTTCTTTACTTTTTGTTATGCATGTTGTTGTTTTGTCAAATAGAGTAGGTAGATAGGTCCCTTTTCAGGCCATCAAGGCCCATGGGGAATGGGGGTAAGGGCCACCATAATTCTTGGCCATCCGACACTGGAGGTGGATGTGGTCAGCACCACACTCCAGCTGGCCTATTACCCCCACTTGCTTCTACCTGGGATTGAACCCAGGACCTTCCAGTTAGGAGCTAGACACCCTTGCCATCTGAGCTCCCACGGCTCCATCAAACAGAGGACATGCATTTATCTAGCAAAGAGTTAAGCTTGCACATGACCTGTAGCAATCCGGTTGCTTTTCACATGGGTGTCAGCTGCATTAGACACTGCGACACTCCACCCTCATTTCTTTTTTTGTCCTTGGTGACAAGCAATGTGTGGAGGTGTGTGCATATGTGTGCTTTCTTAGAGGAAGCGAGTGACTGTTCCAAAGCAAACATGCAAATGCCAACACTAAGGCAGACGCCACACTAATGCCCATGAACTAATATTTACAGTCCTAAGCAAGGCTTACTAAGCCTGGAGAATTAAGATGTAAATACCAAAAAAAGATCTGGGGAAAAAATATGTACAATATTTATTCTATTTTCTCACAAGCATTTTGTAACATCTGAAACCAAACCCAATGAGTGGGTACTAATTTTTAGGCAGGGTGACATATCCAAGACTTAAGCAACAGAACATTTGTATGGCAGTTTTATCAAGCACAAGCATAAAATTCCTATTCCTATAAAGGGACAAATTTAGCTTCTTACTTGCTGTCGAATTTTGTCCTCTGCCGCTTGAACACGTTGATCCATCTCTTCTTCCATTTCGCTCAGCTGCATGGCAGCTTTATCTTGAGCTCTGTTGTGTCACAAAAAACAAGGCTTACCATGCATGATACCCTGCTATAGCACATAATGATCAGTATGGGCAAATTGAATGAAATCATCAACATAATCAACGTCGGTGCCAAGACTATCTAAAACATAAAAGAGGAGAAGCAGATATTGCCTTATTTATGTAGTGCAGGTGGGCAGCTGTGTCAGCATTCGCAGGCTGCAAAGGAACAAGTAATAGGTTTATTCCATGCTGAAAAGAGAAGAAGGAAAACACAACGTTTTGGCCGTGGAGCCTTCCTCAGGTGTCAAGCTTTTTAAAAATGTTTAAAAACTTTAAAAAGCTACTTTTTCGATTAACGTTGTATATTGACCCTCATCTTGTGACGTCCTGCTGGTAAATTTGAACAGCTGAGCTCTCCAGCAGTTGATCTGATCTGATCTGTCACATGGATAAAACAATCTTTCATTTGACTATTCCAACACTTTCTAAGAATTAGGTCTGGAAAAAAGATACTTTATATGAAAGCTGAGGCGTAACAGAATACCTCTTATATATCTGGTGCATGTGATGTTGAGGAAGAGTCAGTCTGGCTGACTGGTGAATCAGAAAAGGAATTGGTTTAACAGCTTTTATTAGTCTTAGTTAATGTTTAACAGAAACATTTTGTCTTAAGGAGAGCCCCAAAGTATTTCTTATATAATATAATCAATTGCCATACTGTGCATTCTATGACCATTAAAGTGCTCAAGTTAGTGGTTTTGTAGTGTGTGCATGTTTATGTCTGTGTGTTCTACATTGGACTGGCTCCCCGGAACAGGCTAAAGACCACAGACAACCTGAATTGAATAAGTGGTTATAGAAAGTAATGCTATTTGTTTTGGTTAGAATTAACTGACATTTAAAATGACCATTTTCTATTAAATGCTTCAATCTGGGGAAAAAAAGTTATAGTACTAGTGTGACAGGGGAGTTATATAAAATGGTGAATATATGAAATAAACAATGTTCCCTAGTATAGTTACAGTTAGTATGATGATGATGATGATGATGATGATGATGATGAAAAGAACAAGCAGGGTATAGCAATATAGGTCACAATGTAGGGGAATACTTTAAAAAATATCCTCTACACAAGTAACTTGTAACTGAAATGAATCACATTTTTAAAGTAACTTTACCCAAAACACAATACAGTATAAAAGCTATGTGAATCCATGTAAAAAAGACTGTAAGAATCCCTGTGAACAAGAAACTGCAGGTCTTAAGGCTTGATTACATTTCTCTTTACAGAATCTCTAATGCATGTTTACCTTTTCACTGCAAGTGCTAGGTTTTCCATCTCTGAATTCTGAAGCCTGATTTCTCGGATGAAATTCATTATGACCCGTTCATACTGAGGTACCATCCTTGGCTCTGTGAGGTTGATGTTCTGGTACAAGGTGGCAACTTGCTCAGACCTGCAAGCAAGCATTATAAAAACATTTCATTAGTGAAAATTGTGCCTAATATACTGTATAATAATACAACATATATACTATTATAAAATATATAATAAAAAAAATAAAAAGATCATTTCTTGGGCAAAATGTGTCACTTAGTAAGAAAAATAACTATGAACTAATGTACCAAAAGCTTAAATTAAGTTTTGTTAGAGCATGTCAGGGTTATTCTATATGTGAATTCCACTGTGTGACCAAAAACACTTTGAGACTCTCCAATGATAAAAGATGTTCTTGAAGAGCAATTCACTGTACCTTTATGTTACAATGCTTCTTTAATTAAACTGGAGTTAGTTAATAAAACTATATTATAACCAATTACTGGCTCACTTGCGCTGTAGAGACCTACTTACTGTATGTAGGAAAGCAATGTTCTACTGTATCTCCTCCAGCTAAGACAGCAGAAAGATTTAAGTAGCCTTGTGCAGTACAAATACATGCATTTAAAACTTCACAATATACTAATTAGCGTAGAACAAATTCACTTAGAAAGTGAGAGTACAAAACGCCACTGTAAATATACACAGTAAAGGGACAATTATTCAATTTCTATGAAAACTGTGCATTAACCAAGCCGTATTATTCTAGAGGATGCAAGGTTACCTAACTTATAACTTCTGGAATGTCTTCATGCGCTATCATATTCTTTTTGTAGGGAGGATAAGCAGATGTTAATAAAATTAGAATTTGGCCTTTTCCGAAACTTTTGTTTTAAACTCCTTTTTGAAAAATACAAACAATCCAATGGAATGTCAGAGCTCTACTGAGAAAATGCTATAAATGGGACGGTAGGTTCACAGACATATTAATTTTGAAATCAGACACCATATTCTGATGGTAAAAAGTTGTATAAATTATTCATTAGTGCCAATTCACTCTATGGCTTGTTTCAATCACTGTAGTGTGTATTGTCAACTACTGCCACTACTCCAAGATCAAACTGTGGATTAATAATGGGAGTCTTCCAGTGCTAGCTATGAAAAAAACACTCTACTGATACGGCCATACTGGTCCTCTCTCAACCTCAGATCCCGGCTGAGGGCAAGGCAGACCACTGGTTGAAGGTAGTTTATGGACCAATGCCTGAGTGAACTGTACAGTGTGTGCACCAGAATCACCATTGCTATAAGAAAAGAATGCAATGTGGAGAAAATAACAACAAAACTCATGGAACACCATCATTAACAGAGCTGGGCTGTGATACTACTACACTGTTTCCCATCATTCTGGAAAATAACTGGTTATATTTAACAGATCCATTACAAATTATGTTCATTGTAAATAAGGTATAACAAAAATAGAATATTAAAAGCATCTCTACCAATCCTCTATATTTGACATTCACAATAAAAAGTTACGGGGCATGTCTTTCCCAAAGTTCTAGTCAGGAACAAGAGCTTTAAATATTTTGTTAGAGCATCCTACAAAAAGTACAACTACAAATGCAATCTCTGTTTAACCAAATACTAAAAATGTCCAGGTTAATATTAATCACAAAACATATGCTCAATCACTTCGGAAAAACCCTGGCGTGCAAACCGTGAAAGACATTGCAGTATGAGCAGACATGGGAGAGATGACGCGCTACTGTACCGCGTTTTTTTCTTGGTCCACTCTACTGTATGCTGTGCATTTATATTACGTGATGTCTAGATAGGGAATATGACAAGTAAAACTAGAAAGATCACATGTCAGTGCAGGGAAGGGTGCATGATCTTACCAAGACAGTACACTTTAAAAAGCCGTTACATGTAAATTATACGCTAATGGGTTCAGTGAAATACTTTACTTCTCACTGCACTGGTTATGGTTCTTTACACGCCAATATGCGCCAATACGATTTGTTCATGTACTGAACATCGAGTATATTAATGAAAAAGGAGTTATATTCACGTTAACGTTCTTCTTGTTCACACGTAACGCTCAAAGTAACATCTTAGACTGCAACTTCAAGTTGAAATTAAAAACTAAACCTTTCGAAAAGTGGTCACATAATTTTAGTAGATCCAGATAAATCAATGTAACAAAAAAGAGAAACAATAACGCTCTGTTTTAAAATTGTATTTAAAAAATGTTTTCATTTATTCTAAAGAACCGAGTCATTTTTTGTCAGTGAGCGAAACTACTGTACAGGAATCATTAACTTTCTTATTGGCAGTACCGGTTGAATACTGTAGTACTACAGTAGATTACATCCTGCAGTCAGTAAATCAACGGGAATAACCAGCATCACTCATCCGAAATAGAACCTACTGAGGTGCATATTTCATTGACAGTCATCTTTGTTGTTATTTTTTTCACAGCCAGCAAGTGCTGAAAATGCCCATTGGACCGGTTAATGAAAAAATAAAATAGTACTGTACATACAGTACAGTAAACCCTTAAAAACTAAACAGGGCGGGGTACTATACTGTATGTACGGTACGGCCTTATAGGGGAGATGTGGGTTTCTTTTTAATAAGAAAGTGTCCACCGTTCATTTACTGAGACAAAATAATTTACAGTATTACATTGTAATACAATGTGATTGCAGGCTAAATATGTCGTCAAATACATTTATACTAGTTCAGATATGTGGAACGTGCACTGTAAGACAATAAATGGATGTACGTTAATCAACAATTATGTCATAATAAAATATGCATTACCATCCAAAATGAATGGCAATGTCTAGGCTTTTCGTAACACTTGCGAACCACTCATTTGTCGTTATCTACACAGGGTGCTTATTAATGTTGTCTCATACAAGGCTAAATGTTTGGCTTATGAATGTCCCGTGTTGTTGTCCTTAGTTTTACACGTATTCCATTTCACTAAATATTGGTTTTGTATACCCTAATTAAAATGAACTATACTTTACTAGGTTCTGTCTCTTAACTGTCCATCATCCCTGCTTTTAATACAATTAAGCAGAACATCCACGTTAAAGCTTCTTGTTTTTAAACTGGAAATATATTAGTTTTAATTCGTGCTACAGTAAAGTCTTTCCAAATAGGAGCTAAAAAAATCTTTTTTAATCCCAATTACAATCATTTTAAAAAACTTATCTTTGAACTGTGTTAGTTCGTGCCATTGAGCCGGTATTGGTATTTAATATGCTTATTATGTTGCAATGCACACGTTGAGTCTTAAATACAACTGTAAAATGGAAAAATATCCTACAAAGCCACTTTTGATCTCTAATGTTCTGACAAAACCAAAATAAAAAAAACGCATAACAGTACAAAGCGTTAAGCGGATACAATATGGGTTTCGTATTTCACCTTGGAATAAATTTCGCCTGCTCCCCAAGTCTGTGATGAAATTCTTCCCAAGCTTGTCGGAAGTCACCGTTTTCACCCTCCATCTCTACAAAGTAGATGAGGTCGGATACTTCCTGAAATCCGTTAGTAAACTCTTCGAAGTTAATGGATCCGTCCCTGTCCACGTCTAGTTTTGCAAATATCGCCTCAATCTCAGATTGCTGGACTTGTAACTCTGAGCAAACCAAGAAAAACTCCTCTTTTTCAATTCTACCCGAATTATTCACATCACAAGCGTGAAAAAGCAAGCGTAGTCTGTCCAGATCTTCTTCATCCTCCATCAGGAGAGAAATACGTCGTTAGGTATTATATAAAAACACTATTAGAGGTCCAAATATATCCAATAAAGAAAATTATTCCACAGAAAAAAATGTCTCTACTATTTCCCAGGTACCGGATAAAAATAGGATCTCCTATTAAAATCCAGACTTCGCTTTAAACGAAACAAAAATAAAAAATATATAATTTTGTAGGTATTCTAACAGCATCCTCCTTATTTTGAGTATTACAGATTCTACTACGCGGATCTCAAATCACCTTGCACGAAGGTAACTCGGTTCTTTGGTAAATGGGAGGAGTGCGTTTTGCTGACGTGAAACTCACCTAGTTTTGTTCTATTATTCTCCTGTTAAACTTCTGAAGTGCACGGGGTAAAAGTAAACATTGGTTGGGCTCACTGCCACTTGTAACAGAATTAACCGTAATCCGACAGTCAAAAAACTGAAAATAAACTAAACTACTCAGATTTCAATGAAGATGTACTGTGTGAAAACAAACGGAGTGTTTATTTAGATAATGAAAATTATATTTTATTTTTAATATAAGCTAATTCTAAGAAACGACCCTCGAAAATAATAGTTATAGAGTAAATAGCTTTAATGAAACATATTTTGAAGTTAAATTACTTGCACAATATTTTTCTGGCAGATTTAGGTTTACGGGCAGAAGTGCCTGTACATAACATACTCCTGTTTTCCTGCAAATACTTCATTATCAATGAAAGCTCTACTATGGTATGCAAAGGTTCATGCAAAATGATTGTTCGTTTACCGAGTATTTTAAGTCAAGGACAAGAAAAACAAGCTTTTCAAGTCCTTGTTTTTTCCCCCCCTGACGTATTAAAATGTGTACAGTATGCCTATTGTACTAATATTACAGCTGAATATTCTTCAAATGACTCATACAATTGAAAACTCAACATATATTTAGTTTATATGTACCGTACCTTCCAGAAAATATTGCAAAATGTGTCAGATGGATATTAATGAAGACAAGAAGCCTACAAATATAGTAAGATGTCTTAGAATGGTAAGCAGTTTGAGCCTGTGAGGTACAAAGTAACAGGATATATCAGTAGGTAAATATCTAAAGGTAGGTCATTAAAAATTACCACAAGTAGCTAGGAATTTCTTAGTTATAACCATTTGTTGTCAGAGAGAAAATATTTGTCTATTACAGCATTACCAAAATAGTTTTTTAAACATTTACTCTTTAATTAGTTCTGCAACATACTTTTCTCCAGCAGCTGAATTATTTAAAAGAAGAATGCTTTTAAAGTCTTATCTGCAAACTAGGAGTGACCTTATTTCATGGAAGAAAATACTTTTATGTTAATGGTAGTTACTCATTGACTCCTTGACTGTGGGCATTTTTCACCTTAATTTAAAGAAATATAGTAAAAAAGCTGAATGAAGCACAAATTTGACCGACCCTTGCTGTGTTATTGTGTTAACAGGTGAAAAAATTGAGATGTGATTTAAAACATAACATTCACGGGTAAAATGAATGTAATCTAAATAAATTTGTGATTAAAGGACAAAAGTTTAAGTAACAAAAGAATGACAGGATGAAGTTTAAAAAACATATGTAAATAATTTTTCCATCAGATATGTCACCCTGCAACTCACAATTGGCAATACACTGAAGCCAAGCAGATGCGAACCTGGCCTGTTCCTAGATGGGAGACCTCCTGGGAAAAACTGCGGTTGCTGCTGGAAGAGGTGTTAGTGGGGCCAGTAGGTGGTGTACACCCTGTACTTTACTGTAAATAGGTGTCATCCTTTGGATTAGAAGTACAACCAAGGTCCTGACTCTTTGTGGTCATTAAAAATCCCAGGATGTTTCGTGAGAAGAGTAGGGTTGTTACTCCAGTGCCCTGGCCAAATGTCCTCTGGCCTTTTCCAATAATATCACTATGGCTACTGTTGCATCATCCAGGTGGGTGCTGCACATTGGTGGAGGGGGAGCCCCTGTTATATACAGTAAATAAAATACTTGTATTTATTATATTTTATTATAAACCATACAATCCATATTGTATATCCATATCCATTTTGGTCAGCATGAATTACACAAATAATAAGACACATAGTGGTGATACATTTATAGCAGTATGTGTAGATGTTACTCTTCACAGTGATTTTGGTGTACTTCTTTGGTGTAGTGGGTTTTTCTTGGGAACCCTTTGGAAATGCAATGGACTTATTTACATAGTACCATCATTCGGAAAGCTTTAGATGGGATGTCAGTTGTATGTGAATAATTCAGTGATACAGCTGTGGCATGTGGCATTTAAGGGCCTCATTCGCAAAAGTGTATTAAATGAATGATGTATTTAAATTTACAGTATCAGAAGGAAAAGACATGGACTTTTAAAGGTAATGACACTGTATGTAAGTGCTAGTAAGTATAATGTACAGAAATAAAACTGAGAACAGGAAACATTATGCACAGATACGCCAGTTTCCTCAAGCATACTTAGTAAATCAATGGCAAACATATTTCCATAATTAAAGAAAGACTCAAATTAAAAAACATATTTATTACATTTAAAACATAAATGTGTATGTCAGTGTCACATCTATTTTTAAAACAAGAAACCAAGATTCAAAAAAGGCTTTAACAAGGCTTTACTGTAAGCTATAATATAAGGCAACTATTTAGAAATATTTAAGCTGTGACTAATAGGTATGGCAAGTGGTAATCACTGTATTTAAGTGATGTTCATATCTTTTTGTCACATTTTTACGACGTTTAAATCTTCTTTAGGAATGATGTGTTGATTGAAAGATCATAGTGCACTTCAATCCTCTGATTTACTTCCCTGATGCCCTTCACATTGTGTATGCCGTGACAGCCAAAGAGGTGAAGCAGCTTCAGCCTGGCAAAAGAAATAGAAGTACTGTAGTTCAAGTAGGGAGCTGCGTCAGCATGTGTAGGCTGCAAAGGAACAGGTAACGGGTTTATTCCACGCTGAAAAGAAAAGAAAGGAAACACAACATTCAAGTGTGAAGAAGACTCCACAGTTGTGTTTCCTTTCTTTTCTTTTCAGCATGAAAGAAATAGAAGTGCCTTTTACAAAGTTTTACATTCAGGAGTGTGTGTGTTGGTGGTAGTGGTTCCATGGAGAGGAGTGGCAGAGCTGGTCATTCCGCTACAGTTCCTGCTAATGTCTTGTTTATTTTTTTTTTACACCCAGTTCAGTGAAGATATTGTGGTTCCATTTTAGATTCTTCACCTCATCCTCTGTGTCTCCTAGTTTAGGCTCAAACTTACCCTGACTATAGCATGAGTTGTCTATGGATGGATAGGAAGATCTCAGTTTAATTTGCAAGCTTACTCAAATTATGCAGATTCTAAGTTATATATATATATTTAAATGCACTCTGAGTAGATGTACATATATATACATTATTGGGACATTCCCAGTGCCAGTGATAATTTGGTTGAGTGCCTTTTTAATTGGCTTAGTTAGTTACAGTTCACGTGGCTGCTCTCAAAACATTATCATGTGTCTTTAGCTGGATAGCTGCAGGCTTAGGTGGTGTGGCAGCTAGCTGGATGCCCTCTAGCTGAAATGTAAACACTGCAGCATTTGCTGCTGAAATACCCCAAGTACATGCTAATTATCCATCAATTAAAAAATACTGTACACAGAATCACACTTCAAAATTGACAAACAGCTAATTAAATCGTAAAGGTTTTTGTTCAACCAGGTTTGCATTCAATTGAAATAGCTGTTCAATCTATGAAAGTTTCTTTACTTGGTTCTTTCATGTTGAGCCAGAGCAGTGACTCCTGCATTGACTCTACAGTATATACTGTACAAGGGTGAGCAAATAATCAAATATGTCACAGAAATGTAAGTGTCTCTATTATGCTGGTAAGTGGGTCATTTTTATGAAAGACTATCTTACTGTTACTAGCTTGGATATTGTGACTGATAGCCATTCTATATTTAGCGAATCATTGTTATTAACTTGATCTTTGCTGCATATAAGATGATCTGATTTAAATGTATAAAGCTTGAAAGTTATTTAAAAGTTCTTTTGAAACATTTTAAACATTTTAAACTTCTGTAAAAAAAAGAAGGAAAATGCACATATACATAAACGGTTTTTACCTTTTACAGTTTTTGCACAGTTTTTTAACAGCATCCTCAGAGACATCTTTGCAGAAACTAAGTTTCACACATTCCAGGCTTCTGTAACAGTAATTAGCCAGGAGGCACACACTGCAATGGATAAATATGAAACAAATATATGACTCAATGCTATGCTAACAAATAGTGACTCATACTGCATATACTGTATCTGAATCAAGCCTTAGCCTTGTACTGAATTCAGACAACCACTGTATTTGAGCCCTAGCTCAAAGCAAAGGGGAACGTTGATGATACTGATTAATAATAATAATAATAATAATATACAGATGACAGAGAGGTAAGCTTTGAGTAAAGTGGTATGGGAGGGATCTAGGCAACAAGAAGCTATATTGCAGCTGTTAATAATTTTTGTAATTTGAATTGAATTAATTAAGCGAAATTAATATAAATTTGGTATGGTGGGAAAGTCAATGGTATAGCTAGAGCTTATATAGTTGTCTTAGTCCAATTGTACCCAGATGTTCCCTAATTGTTCAGAAATCTACCGAACTGTTCACACATGTATCCAAATGTACCCAAATGTTCACCCATATATCCAAATGTTCACCCATATACTCAAATGTTCTCAAATGTACCAAAATCCACCAAAATGTACCCAACTATTCACAACAGTAAGCAAATACACTGTACCTCAATGTATCCAAATCTTCACAACTGTACAGTACCAAAATGTAACCAGTTGTACCTCACTGTTCACAAATATGTCCAAATCACACACAAATCACAAATGTACCCCAAAGGTCCACAAATGTACCTAAATGTTCACAAAGATACCCAAATTTACCAGATGTTTACAAACGTACTCAGCTGTACCCAGATGTACATTTGGGTATATTTGGAAATATTTGGGAACAACTGGATACATTTTGGTACCTTTCTGAACATTTGGGTACACTGGCATACTTTTGTGAAGGGTACATTTTGGTAGATGTGGGTACTGTATATTTCTGAATAGTTTGACTTCAACTGTACCCATGTTTTCACAAATGTACCTGGTGTTCAGTAATGTTCCCAATGGTTCAAACGATGTACCTAAATGTACTCAAAGCTACCAAAATGTATCCAAAATATACCTGAATGTACCCTAATGTTCACAAATGTACCAAAATGAAGCAAATCATATAAAAATGTTCACAAACATACCCAAATGTACTTGGGAACAACTGTCAGCATTCACTGTCTAAGCTGGAAAAAGTATGTGAACCTTTAGGATAATAACTTCTATTTAAGGGGGTAATTGGAATTGGGAGTTCCAATCAATGAGACATTCAGGTATGAACTTCAAGTGCCCTGCCCTATAAAAAAAACACAGTCTGCTCTTCACTGTCAGGACAGCATCCTTCAGCTGGTGGTTGCCTTGGGAAACTGTCACATTCTCACAAGGGCCCATGGTTCTCCAGGGTTTGCTGCCCTGAACAGATCCCCTTTTCGTGATCCATGTTTATTAGCAATTTCCTTTCTATTTAAAGGCGAGGAGACGCTTTGATTTTTCATTCCACCCTGGGTTTTCCTCACTGGCAGATAGCATTTAGCTCTGCTTGACAATTTTGGTTTCAAGCCAGCACTTCACTCTGCACAGCAGTCTCTCCAGCGTCAAGCCTACCCTTCAAATCCATCATGGTCCATTCCCAGGAGGCTTGCCTTTCGGTTTCTTCCATACCCAAGGCTCCCTGTCACCGACCGGTGGACAGTTTTTGGCAGCAATTTTGGTTTTAATACATCACTTCGCACTGTGCAGCAGCTTCAGCTCTAAGCTCTAAGCTCAGCATCACTGGTGCTGTAGCCTCCGCTCCAACATCACCCTTAGCTCCTTGCCTGCTCTCCATATTGCCCGAAGCAGCAGTCCTGGATTCAAGGCCACATTCCATTCTGCCCTTATTCTTTTCACTGGTCACCACATCAACCTGGACCCCTGGATCTCCTGAGGGCTGCCCTTCAGAGCACGTTCGGTTCCCTTATCAGAGGTCTCACTATTCGGTTTCTCCATACTCAAGACTCCCTTTTTTTGACCGAAGGGATGTTTTTATCAGCCTCTCTTCACCAGGGATGCAGCTTTTCCTGGGACCATAGCTCCTCCACATTTGTTTTTGTTCCCAATATTGACTGACCTAGGCTGATTAAGTCCTGCCATCCAGTAATTAATTATTTCATTATCGCCTTTCAGTTTTCACTCTCCGATCTCTCATGCTTGGAACCTGACAAATCACCACCTGTGCTGCTGTATCCAGCTGAGACGTTACATTCACTACACAGATCTGTTGAAGTGAAACATGCACCCAAAAAAAAGAGTTTTCTACAGAGGACCTCAGAAGAAGAGTTGTCAATGCCCATAAGGCTGGAAAGAGTACAAAAGAATTTAGGCCTCCAGGAATGCACAGTCAGATAGATAGTGTACAAATGAAAGAAGTTTAGTTCCATTACTACTCCCCTTGGGGTGGTCATCCAGCAAAAACCACTGCAGAGTGAGCTGTACAATGAACAAGGAGGGTAACAGCTAAAGATATGCTGTCGTCTCTTGCAATGGCTAATGCCTGTGCACATGAGTCCACAATAATAAAAACGGTGTGCACTGGGGATACAAAACCACTGCTCTCCAAAAAAAAACATTGCAGCCTTTCTCAAGTTTGCCAAAGACCACCTGGATGTTCCACAATGCTACCTGAACTGCCTTCCATGGACAGATGAGAATAAGTGGAACTTTTTGGCAGAAATATACAACATTATGTTTGAAGGAAAAACAATCACTGCATACCAACACAAAAACATGGTCAGCTATGAAGCATTAAAGAGTGGAGGAAGCATCATGGTTTCAGGCTGCATTGCAACCACAGAGTTCGGAAGGCTTACAATTACTAATTGGAACAATGATTTCCAAATTACTGTACATCAGCAAATTCTACTGGAAAATGTCAGGGTATCTGTCTGTGATCTGAAGCTTAATAGAAGTATGACAATGATTCTATACACTGGAGTAAATTTATAACAAAATGGCTTGAACAGAGAAAATGTTGCATTTTGTAATGGCCAAGTCAGAGTACTGACCCTAACCCCATTGAAAGGCTGTGACATGACCTGAAGCAAGCCGTTCATGCAAGACATCCCAAACATATTAATGGATTGGCCAAAATACCCCCAAACCAATGTACAAGACTAATCAGCAGCTACAGGAAACTTTTGGTTAAGGTCATTGATGCTAAAGGGGGTTCCACCAATTACTAAATCTAAAAGTTGACATACTGTTTCCAGCATAGACAGTGAATGTTTAAACAGTGTGTTCAATATAGACATTTAAAATCACTGTAAATAAAATCACAATAAAAGATGGAACCATGTATGGATATTAATAACGTTATTTCAGTAGTTTCAGATAACCCAAGTATTATGCAAAAGTTGTTTAGAATGTTTTTGGTTGTAACTAAAGACTAAAGGTTTAGTGGTAACACCTGGCTATACGAATGACCCACCCAGGTAAGCTGCATGGGCAATGGAATAAAGATGGTGGAGAGTTGCAGTAGTCACAGGGGAGAAGAATCTGGTTCACATTTATAGTGATGTGATTATAGGTGAAAAAAGCAGAATAGCAGAGTTTCTACTTTATTAACTTCATTTAATTACTGAAAACATGAAAGAGTTGGAAATGAGCTGTTACTATGGTGAAATAAAGCCCACAGTGTAGTGTTCTAATGTGCTACAATTTAGGAACTATAGTTGAAACTGGATAGAAACAGGACCTTCCTTGGTTGTTCTAAAAGAGGTATTTTAATTAGAATGTCTGTGTATGAAGCTGAATAAATGACACTGTGATGAAAGAGTGCCCTCTTATTAACTCTGCATGCTGTAATCACAAACCATACTCTCTGCCAACAACTTGTAAAGAACAACTAAATATTTTATAAATATTGTACAAAATTATGAAAGGATAATAGTTTAAAATGTTTAGTAGGACATTTCTGGCCCTCCACACTTTTCTTTAATTATTTGTGAGCCAAGAATAAAATGCTGAGTGTATTAATTTTTTGTCTCAAACACCTTTCAACTTTTAAACAAGGGAGGATGTTGCAAAGAAACAATGGTAATGGGATTACGCTGTTAGGATCACAGCTTCGTTATTTTAAAGCCACCTAGCAGCTGAGGAGGTGACCAGTAAACCGTCTCTTACCCCCTCTTGCCGGTCCTGGTTGAGCTGAGGTCCAGGTACTGTAGATGGCGACAGGTCAGAGTTATTGCTTGCACCCCTGTGTCAGTAACTTTCCTGCAGCCACTAACATCAAAATACCTGCGTCACAGAATAAAGGGAGTGATTTAAGCATCCCAGCTAGAAAATAGCATTTCTATGGAATTACCATTATTTTATGTCATTACTGTAAATGCAATACTAATTTGAGAAATTTTACTTTCTCATTCTGGTCACTGTATTCTTCAACATTGGGTCAGTCGGGGGATTTGGGAACTTTAAAATTAAACAGAAACTTTTTATATTTATATTAATAGATGAGTAATGAGAGCTTTATGGTAAAGATTTAATTTAGAGAATACTATGAAGCAATCCTTCTCCAGAAAAACAATGTCAAGAGGATAAATCAGTATAAACAATTTCTAGTGAATAAATTCACTATAGAACTTGCAACAATTTATGTTTTGCCATTGTTTTTGGCAGAACTTTTATCAGTTTCCTTCTTGTATGTAATCAATTCTGCCACACAAATGTAGCACTATATAATTGATCTGTTTATATAGTTGAATGCAGTAATCTCCTAAGAACATATTTCTGCTAGTTATGCTGTTTTCTTTTTTATTCTAATGACCAGATTATCCCATCACGTTCCATGGGAAATGCAAAGTTCAGGAGGCAAAAAGACTAGCACATTTATACACATTTAGCACATTTATACCTAATATTTCTCTAACTGCTATAATTAGTGGTTGTTGTCATCCAGAACTACAACAGCTTTGACAAAATTACCTTGTTATGTATATTGACAGTGGTGAAAGAGTGGTGAATTAGTAGTACTGTAAATGCTTAATTAAACCAATTGAAACATTACCTGAATGAACCCCTCTCATTTGTAAGACTTTTAGATCTTTAAATTCTTATGTTATTATTGGCACAATGCACTGTCATTTTTATTTAGTAATTTCGTCATTGTTATAAATATTATTAAACTATATTAAAAAATGTTTTTTCTAAATGTATAGTAAGTGAAATGCAGGATTGTAGTTAATGTATTAAATATTGTACCTCTACATTTTTTTGTAAACTTAAACCACATGGTGTAAATACTTATTTATTTAATTCTGAAGTTGTCTGCTCGATGATACTTCAGTCCTATACAGAGGTCTGTATCTTACCGAATGGTGGGCAGATAGGTGCTAACCTCCACCAAGCTCACATCTGTGATGCAGGGACAGGAGCTAAGAGTTAAGCTCTCCAATTTAGAGCAATGCTTTACAATGCAATGGACAGTCCGGTCTCGTACCTGTAGTAGAAAACAGTGCATATAGTATTTTAACATTAATTATATAGTACAATTTAATTAATTTGCAGACTACAAATGGAAAGCTAGGATTCTATAGTTCTGTATAGTTTATGGATTTCTTTCTGACTCTTTTATTCCATTTTGACATTTTTTTAAATACTAGCAGATTTGACATATTTAGTAACTGATGTCCTCTTTCTTGCAAAGACAGATCATCAAGACAGATTGTTCTATTTGGAAAGGAATCAAACCAAGCAAAAATTAAATTAAATATTCCTTAATAATTCTGAAAGGCAAACACTTACCACATTAATACCTGTTACATTTATTGAAGTCAGATGTTTGAAACAGGGAATCATGTGAGTCAAACAGACATCTGTGATCTTTGGCATTTGACCAATATTCAAAACCCTCAGATTAGGACATTGATCAGCCAAAGAGCTCATAGACTTAGCACTGAGGGCATGGCATCCAAAAGCCTCTAACCTGTTGAGACTGGGGAATAATACACATTTGTAATGCGCTTTCTTTCACGTAAAGTCCAATATAGAAAGTATACTGTACAAAATAGTCTCTCTTTTCAAAATAATTTAAAACTCATTTTCTAGAGAAGAAGACATGACTTGTGTATTGCTTGTGGAATACTATAGTAAACACTGCAGTTAAGAGTATACACTAATATTTTTTTTTAGCAATTTTAGTATTTTTTCTCGTAAATTACATTAAGGGGCTTAGCAAGAACTTGTTACCTGACAAGAACTTGCCAAATATTTTTTATTAAAATGCAGTCAACTCTCTCCTAAATGCCACAAATAGAAAAGACCCAGAGAGCAGGCAGAACTGGCAGGTTATGCCATTAGCTAGCTGCAACCAGTCAAGTTGATTAATATTTGATTGCAAATAAAGGATAAAAAGAAACAACCAGCAGTATGAATTAATAAAAACCTTAATCGTGTAAATATGCCTTATTCTGTTCATATAAAATATTGAGAAGAAATCAAATGATTATTGTATTGTATATACAACAAATACAAACAAAAAATACAAAAAATGATATTTGTTCCAAAACTCCTGATGCATTTTTAATGTTTCAGTATACATTTTTATACAGACATTAAAACCACATCAATGGCAAAAATAAGTAAAAAATTGGTAAGCAAAAATAATGCCTGTTTTTTTCTTGTTGTCTTAATTTAATTCTATTACAGTATATTTTATGTTTTATGTTATAAAAGATTAAAAAACCTTGTGATTACAAATCTTATGATTATTGGTGTTCCTGTAAGAAAATAAAAGATTTGAAAGTATTCATGTACCCTGAAGTACCTTTTATTATCCTTAATTATTAATCTAAATACATACTGATAAGAAACAAAAAGTTAATCCCATGCTGAAAAGCTGAAAAGTAGAAGGAAAACAGAAAAAAAAATTCAGCTGTGCAGTAATCTTCAGGTGTTGTCTTTTTACTTTATTAATTAATATCTACCTGTTCCTCTGCAATTTTCAAACTGACACAGCTAAATAATACCATACCTCTTTCCATGTCGTTTAACAAGACCCTTAAGAGCATCATCTGTCATTTGGCATCCATTAATGGATAGACTTTGTAGCCTGAAAATGTTACAGTTATACTCATTAAAATTATTTAATTTGATCAAATGTACTTTATCATTGTAACATGTTACCTATTGAAATATGAAGTGAAATATTAAATTGGAAAAACTAGCTGAAATGTTTTTTAAAAATGTTATACAGGAACCTTTGTAAAATGTCCACAGCACATAAAATACAATAGATAATCAAATTGGATTTACTTATAACTCATAAATAATAATCCATAAAATGACCAATTAAGTTAATCAATAACAAATTATTATTTATATTTATGACTTTTGCTAAAAGCTTACACCAGTGTTAAATAACAAAATCGTTAAATAAAAAAACAATCGATAAAATGACACAATAGATCAGTTTTAACATGCAAGTTCAGGGCGAAAAGACTTAACTGAAAAGGCATAATTCTCTTAAAACAAAAAATCCTTAATGTAATACGTTATGCATAAAATTTTGTACTGTACTGTATCACATTGTTGATTTTTCATACTTTATATACTGTAATTTATGTAATTTTACATTTCAGTTGTGACTTCAAGATACTGAAAATGAGAATTAAGGAGAATTCAGGATACAGATCAGAGGTTTATACACTCTGTCTAAATATACACACAATCTTAACATGCTTTTTACAGTATTTTTATGTGCGTGAAGAACAGTCATGTCTTTTCAATAAAAACATTTCATGGAAAACAGATAAGGGTTATACAATGCACTATTTAGTAATGCACTACATTAGTAAAAATGGCCTTAAAGAAAAAACAGCGAAGATCTGAAAAATGCAGAATCATGCACTACCACATGCTGTATATATAATTATTATTATATACAGTATGTTTCGGTACTCTATGCAGTACGTACCTATTACAGGAATTCACAAGAGACAGGACGCCCATATCTGTGGCTCCTGTCCAGCTGATGTCAACTGATGTCAGCTGAATGCAGTGTGCAGTGCAATGGAGCAGCACAGAATCTCCACTTAGCCTAGGTCCACTGCAGCTTGTGACACTGAGCTCCTGCAGTCCCCCCAGATAGAAACATTACATTGCATGGTGTAAAAAACAACATCATCTTGGACTGCAGAACTAAAAAAGCAGCTGTTCAAAGAACCCTCTGGGAAACAAAAGGTCAGAGGCTAGGGCCCTGGGTTCAGTTCCAAACCTCTGGTGCTATCTGTGTGGACTTAGTATATTTTCTCTGTGATTGCACTTGTTTCCTCTGGGTTTTCTGGATTCCTCACTCAATCTAAAAACATTATGGTAGGTTAAATGGCTTCTGGAAAACTTACGCCTAGATGTGAGTGTGTCTGTGTGTGCCCTGTGATGGATTGGCAACCACAGTGTATCTTGCTTTGCGCCCACTGGTTGCCAAGATAGACTCTGGTTCACCCGCAACCCTGTATGGCATGAAGAGGTTAGAAGATGGATGTACTGTATGGGTGGCTGAAAACAATTACAAGTTGTTAACATACAGCACTGAAAATTAGTTCTTACAAGTAATCACAAAGATTATCCTATTTTTACTAGTTGGCCCAATCAATGAGTGGTTGAATGATTGATTTTCAGTGGTAGTATATATTTTCTGGACATTTTCTGGCTTCTCATCCAGGGTGTATCCTGCCTTGCGGCTGTTGCTGGCCACGGTAGCCTCCAGCTCCCCCACAATCTCTTGGATAAAGTTATTACAAAATAAATGGATGTATTTTTTATTTTAAAAGTATTTTACTTAGGTTTTATTACTATTCATTTTGTTTAATACATATTTTTCACATTATCACATGTTCTGCATACAATGTAGGGTAGGAATTATGCATTTATACTAAAAAAAAATTATCAGAAAAACTGGAGAAGACAATATAAGATGTTTTCGAAGTGTCTATCAATAATTTGAAGCAGTCCTAATGAAGTGTTCTAGATTTCTACTGATTTTCCCTCATTAGATTTTACATCTTAAAATATTTTAGTGTTTTCTGACCTAAATGATTAGCAGAAAATATAAACAGCAATAAACTTATTCTGTAAGCAGGTTGAGTGGTGTATGAACACTGTAATGTATACTACATTTCCTCATCAACATTTCAGTCCTATTGAATGAATATTTACCAAATACATTCACTAATGTATTCCCATAAAGAAAGCTACAATAGAGCATTTCTTCCTTAAAAAGGCAAGACAGGACAGTCATAAAAAGGCCTCTTTCATGAGAGGTGACTACGCAAGGGTTGGTATAGCAACCATTAATATTGTATAACAACCAATAATAGAGAAGATTCTGAAGTGCTGCAAAACATCAAAGAATAAAAGACCTCATTTGTATTCAGTTCTTTTCATTTTTTTTCTATTTCCTGTGTGTTCCTGAAACAGCTAATACTGGAGGAATATTCTTTAGACTGTGTATTGCACATTGTTCTGATAAACAGTGATAGACTTTACTACCATGCCCTTCATATTTATGTATGACTCTTGCAGAAATCCATAGTACAAAATAAGTAAACTGAAAATCTACTGTTAATTTATTTTATTTAACATTTTTGTTAGTTAAAATGTGGTTTAAACTTTCTACAGTTTATTCCAGACTTGCAGGCATTTGAATTAATATGAAGGAACAGGTCTTATTCATGTATAAATAAGTGGAAAATGGTTTCTAGAACATAGTTTGTGATGCTATATTTTTATTTACTAAATATTAGACTCCAGCTGTATCCTTAATCAGTCACACATCTTTAAAAAGAAGTTCTTTTTAAAACAATTTCACAACCCTGACCAATCAGAGGTAGAACTACCTCACAATTTTAAAATATTTTTCAGATATGAACTTAATTATTAATTTCACTTTCTGAACATATTTCATTCTGTCATTCCTGTGTAGTTCACAAATTGAAAGAAAAAATATTCAGTGTGTAATATTGATATGAATAAATTATCTTCACTAACTTTTCTGAATTTGTTATTACTCGATACAAATATTTAACTTATTATGTCACTCTTTGCTAAATAGTCTAACCTTTCTGGACTTAGTATCAGCCTTCCATAAAAATCCAAATTTCAGTATTCAATGCCATGTACTTCTAGTGAGTAAATCTAACTGCCAAAGAAATTGATCTTTCCAGAAACAGTCATGCTGAACATCTATTTGATATGGAGCTATAACAAATAATCTAAATGCTGCCCTTTATATGACCAGGTGTAACAAATAAATATAGTCTGGTAGTGTATTTTTCCCAGCCATTTCATGAACCAGTAACTCATTGCACCAAAAGGCATACAGAAAAGGCTTCACCTACAATTAAATTCCCTTAATCTTTTGTCTTTATATACATTCCTTTTCGTATCCATTCAGGAACGATCTGTTTATTTATTTCTTTTTTCAAAAACCAAATGTCTTAAGTTTTTTAAAAGATCTGCAAGAAGTATTTATATTGGTAAGACTTGCATATCTGAGATGAATCACAAAAGCTAAAAAACAGCTGGCATCTGTTTCTCGGACAACATTCAAAAATGAGATAATTGAGATGTCTGTGTAACATTAGCAGAATCTTTGGCTGGTCCTTTCATCTTGTGCATTCATTATATACAAGATTCAAAGTTTACTCAGTGCTCTAGTTTCAGGATGTGGCTAAAAACACAGGAGTATTAAAATACTGAGCTAGACTGTTGTTTATTTTACTTTCACTCTCACCAAACTTTTAAAATCAAAAGATATTATTTTCTATTTATAACTTGATTGTATATATGAACATATATTAATTAAATATTTGCTTACGTTTTATTGCCAACTATTATGCAGTATTTAATCACTTCAGTAAAAAAACTAAATATTTTAAATACTGTATAGTCACTTTAATACAGAAAGTAATAACTTTCAGGATAATTTCATTATTATTTCCAACTAAATGCAGTGGCATCTGCGCAAAGTGACAACATTGTGTATCGTTTCGATGACCCTGTGTATATTAGCATTCATTTCTTCCTAATCTTATCTGTCTTCTGCAGTACAGATGCCCTTTCCATAACAGATAGGAAACAAAGACTGTCATATACAAACCTTTTAATGAGCAGTTCTTAATAGGAACACTATCAGGTACTGCAAGTGTAAAATGCATCTAGTAAGTTTTTAGTTTTGAAATTATCCCACATCACAAGGTTATTGATATCTGATGATATCTGATGTCAAATTGCACAATCCTATAGGTACCAATATACCTCTGTGTAATAGCTTTGCAGTGACAAGTAGTCTTCCACTATTCTAATATTTTTATACTACAAGAGATCAAAATATGAAAGGCTCAATCTTTGCTAGGAAATTATGATGCAGATTTTCCTCGCCAAAGGATCTTTTCTCAATAGAAACATGTTACTGAAAATCAAAATTACAAATTGCAGATTTTCAACTGTTGATTATATTGTTGTTAAAAGAAAAAGTAAAGTCCCAAAGTAAAGTCCCACGTGTACAGTAAAAACATATTAATGAATCTTTCTTTGTTGCTTAAAAAAAGTTAAGATTTTGGATCCCTAGAATAGGGTTACCGTATTTGAACATCAAGAAAAGAGGACACCCTGAGGAGCTTTCCTATTGGCTTATCTGGGAAGGGGGTCGGGATGGAGGGGTTTTCAAAATATCCCACATTTTATGTTCATTGGTTAAGTAACTGTGATGATGTTTTACTGTGTGAAATGCACGTCCCCTCTGCTGCAATAACAGTATCCTCTGTTTTGCTGCCAGATTTGACAAAATAATCTGTTAATTTGGTTGAGGAATTCTCTCCTCAAATTGCTTTTATGTGTTTGTCTGAGTCAACATGAGTTTGTAAGACAAGTACACCTTTATTTGCCACGGAGACAAAAGTACCAGGCTTAAACATTAAACATTCAGATTCCCAGTCTTCTATGCCACTTCGAAATATTATCCAGAAATTATTTTTTTAGTTCTGCTGTGAATTTACACTTTTGCTTTGGCATTGTGTTTGAGGGTAGGAAAATGAGAAACGAAATAGAGAGCCTTTCGAGGGACTGCTTCTGCACCACACAGGCTGAGTAGAAACACTGATATTGGCGCCCAATTTCGCTCTCTCATGACATAATCATACACATACAGGAAGAAAACTAAACGACAATTTAGGTCGCAAAGCGAACTAGAGAAGTTAAGAAATTCTCTCTCTCTTTTTCTAACTATCTTTAAAACTTGTGTTAATTATTCTTCATGGTGAAAATAATGGGGTCGAAATTCTGGACATTTTTGGATATCTGAAAATTCCCTCCGAATGGAGACATAAGGATCAAAATAGAGGACATGTCCAGGAAAATCTGAACATATGGCAACCCTACCCTAGAAAATACTGTACAAATACTAATCCCACAAAAATAACAATCACTGTGTATGAGGGTAAATATTTCAGATGTGACTGAGAGTTCTGATGAATCCCAAGTTGCAAGCTATAGAGCAGTAGAGGACAATGAACTAGGAGAGACAAGAAAGCAAGCAGAAGGATAACTAAAATCAAAATACACTAAAGAAATCAAAATATTTTTTTTTAACGTTTTTTTTCTAATAATGATGGAGCTTTTCTAAACAGCATTTCCAACGCTGCCATCTGGGAACAGGTTTAAGTTTTAGTAAGGAAAAATAGTTTAATTGATATGCTGCCATGAGGAAAAAACAAAGAAGGCCTTCACAAAATTGGTACCTACAGTATAGGATTGTGTTTAAGGAGGTCCAGGAGCCCAAAACAGGATCAGCGGTAGAATGCTATGCAGTTATCCAGTAATGTACAGAGAACCAAAGAGAACCATGTGTACAATATCACTATGACTGTTTTCAATACAGGTGTGGAGTGCAAAATATTAAAACTTCCTGATTTTTACTGAATCAGATTAATGCCTGAAGGCTGCATGGTGAGACAATGATTGCATTGCTTCCTCGCAGTTCTGAGGCCCTGGGTCAATTCCAGGGGTGCTATCAGTGTAGACTTCTGGGAAAATTGTCCCTGGTGTGAGTGTGTACTGAACATGTCTGTATTTGTACAGGGTCTGTGTGTGACCTATGATCGACTGGCACCTTTCTAGTGTTTATCCCGCCCTGTACCTGTTGTTTTCCGGGACAGGCACCTGCTACTCCACAACCCCGAATTGGATAATGCTGTTAGAAAATAGATGGATGGGTGGAATTATTTGCTGGAGAACTTGACTGCCTCAGACTAATAGAAAATGTAAAGAAAATGAAGCATGGATGAGTGTAATGTGCTTGGTTTATAACAATGCCATTCATCCAGGATGCATGTGAAATGATCTGAGATCTACTGTAGCATAATGTCCTCAGAATTACAGAGCTGTCAGGAGAATGTCTGAAACAGTAAACAAAATTTCATAACTGTTATATGAAGTTGGGATATAAATCAACTATCCAATTTTAAAATTCAGAAGATGAGAAGAACATGTAAAATTGTCATATATTTACCTTAAGGGAGTACTTGCACTGCCTAAATAAGTCATCTAGCCCTTTGTCAGTAATGGATTCAGACTGACATCGGTACAGTGTAAGGCTCTTTGGGCAATGTCTGCCAATATTAGAAAGCCAGGTATCATTCAAACATATACAGTTTTCAATCCGGACAGTTTGCCCTGCAAATAAAAAAAGGAGAAAATACGGTTTAATACTGTCAGAGCATGAAATGTCTGAAGACTGGCCAGTGAGTGGACTGGTAACTAACAGGAGAAAATGAAATTCATTTTTATAAATGCACTATTTGTATTTTCTGTGACCCAAAAGATTAATATAGAGTCCAGCAGATAGTAATTCTGTATTATTATTACTATAACTATGGTTATTTTCTGAAGAAAAAATGTTAATTACAAAAAACTATTATTTTAGACATGAAATGCATTTTACACACAAAGTTTAAGACAAAGACCTTTGTTCTTTGGGTTTAGGTTACTAACATTAAATCTCCCTATTAGGCTTGGATATCATAGTCAGTTTATAATAATGGCACTTATACTACTTATATACTGTATAATACTATACTATTATTATAATTAATCATTATTATTTTCTTGTGTGACATGTTGCTGTTAATCATGATCTTTATTCGATTTTTTCTAAATAAAATCTTAGAGATCTGTCTGGTTTATGAGTCATTGATTACTAAGATGCTGGTTTAACTACAGTATAAGTCCTCTATAGAATGTTACATCCTTTGTATGTTTGGATTTTAAACAGAGGTACTGTTGATCATTTTGGTTTACCACCCAAGTAGTTTGGTGGAGGATTTTGCAAAAACACTACTTACCAAAGCTCATTTTGTCTTGCTTAAGGATTCTTCACAACGAGACTAACCCTACTTATGGAGAGTCTAGCTCCTACAAAAATTTGTGTTATCGCTTGCCAGCTCTTCCCTTTCTCTATACACTTTACAAAGTGTAGCATCATAGCATAACATCTCCATTGTCTTTGAAGGAGGATGGGGCTGAACGCTCATCTACAGTTGTAGTTCGCATCCACAGTCCTGGAGACCACTGTTAGGCTCATTCCAACTAAGCTCTTTGATCACAGACTCTAATTTGTGCCTTTAATTTGTCGGCTTTCTAGTTTAGATTTTTGCATTGTTCCAACTATCTCAGCATATCATACTCCTAAATTTGTTACTCAAGCATTTGTTACCTTCTTTCAGTCTAAATGGCTCTTTAAAATGATCAGCTTAGGACAAGCAGAACGTATCAAGAAACCTGATCTGCATTCACTAAATAGCCATTAAATCTTCAGATTGTATTTTATTGCAAAACTAAAAGGCAGTATAGCTAAATTAAAATGTCATCATCATTATCATCATCATTGTTTTGTATCTAATGAGGATCTTGAATCTTTTCAATCTGAGTATGGACCAAGATACCAAAACAGAGCTTCTTAAGATAGGTAATGATTTGCAGATGACTTCTGACTATTAGTACAAACTAAAGTCTGTCCAGACTAAAGTCTGAATATTCTTCTCCCTTCTTTTCCTACTCTGTTAAAGCAGAGATTAGTTATCAGACAGTAATTCTATCACATACACACACCTTTTTCAGTACACTTAAGCTTTACAATTTGTATCTAAAACAATTATTGGAGGAAAATGTTGGGAAAATGCTTCCTCATCCTAACTTACACCTTGGTTCCTTTTTTAAAAAAACACAACACTATCTTCAGTTGTGTAGTGTTTTAGTTTGAGGTGGTGCTGAGTGAAGTTAAGCATTTTTCATACCCCGTGAAAACAATTGCATTCCAGATAGAAGTATTCAATTAAATGTATACACGAAAATTTTACTGCACTATATTTATATTTAATACCAACAACAGAAAATGTTTTTTGGTAAAAATCTCATCCGTAATGTTCAAGAAAAAATGGCTTTGAATACCAAAATCCAGGACCAACTGTATCTAAAGATGCATGCTTCCTTGGTTCCATACTATACTATATAAAGTAATTTAAAGTACTTTATAACGTGTTGCTTAGCTATAAATTCCATTCTATAAAAAAAACATATTGCCAGGATAGCTCTACTCTACAAAGTCAGTTTAAAATGAATTAGTGCTGTACGATTTCATTTTGAGTTCCTACAAAATATGATTACTGGGCAACTAGGTCTTGTTATATAAAACAAGATAATTTTATTCTTCTACTCAAAATGGACAATTTTTTTTATTAATTATTCTGCATTACAATTTCCTTTTGAATATGACTCATAACTTTTCTTCCCTTATACTGTACATCCAAGATCAGGAAACTCAAGCTTTGGGTGTAACCCAACATTCCTCTGCTATGTACTGTAACTATGTCATAAGTAATTCACATGTGTGCTGGTTTCCAAGGAAGTGTTAACACAATATATAATTCCCTGTGTTGGTAGGAATAGCACCGTTCTTAGGCCTTCATTGTACAAGGCTAGTGACGTAGACCTATGCTTTCATCTTATCTACTTTCTGTTTGCCAAAGGTGTGGGTACTTCAGGAATTTTATTGTGAGAATAGAGTGTGTGGTCAACTATTGGCAGGTTACAGCTTTTATAGTAGCATGACAGGGATGTGGAGCATTTGAACGTTTTGTGTATAGAGTAAGGAACGTCTGTGGAATCATACTGTGCAGATAATCCCTGTTAGATGAAAGACACTGCCTATCAACAGATATGCTAGACATATTCTTGGCAAAATTACACAAAAAACAGAACTGGAATGACAATTATATTCTGTTTAAATCAGGAGGAAGATACGATGAAAATAGAAAGTTAAAAACTATTCCTTGAGTGCTATTGTTCAAGTTAATGTTGTGACTAGAATCAAATGTCATACCTTGGCCCTTATGCATGTTAATGAATACACTGTAACTAGACTACTATTGTTAAATCTACCAGTATCCCACATTAAGCTCTATTCATTAAGATTTGGTCAGTGAGTTCTTGGTGTGCACCTATTCCCAGCTGGAATAAACTCTGATCTACTAAAACATTCTTCAACAGTATATGCAGGATACAGAAGCCACAACCAGTCCAACATTCACAACACTGATTTCATATTAGTTATATTAATATTATTATAATATAAAGCTTATATTATAATTAAAATAATAATAATGTAAATATGAGTGTATTTTAGTCATATGCTGACATTTAACTTATTTTGGCCATAAAAGTGTTAAGTTTAAGCATTGACATTTTAATTCAGAATATTCACTTTAAAATTCTGTATACATACATCATTTTTTTTCATTCTAAAAAATGGGAAATCATTGGAAGGTGCTAAGTAAAGTACCTTAGTAATTATATAGTATACTGATACACAATAAAAATGTGTAGTTTATTATTAGTTCCAAACTGTAGGTAAAGCTATTTAAATCTGATTTGCAGAGAAAGATTTGTTGATTTCCAAGTAGTACTGGTCCTCAGAATAACAAAGTACTGATGTGAAATTGTGTGACAAGGAAAGATACAGCCATGGCCAGTATGAAGATAGAAGATCAGCGCATAGTTGGTGTCAACATGTCTGTAGGAAGCCTGCTTTTGAGAGAAGCTGCACGGAGAGTCTACTCCACAATTCAGAAATTAGCAGTCTACTGCAATATCTGTATATAGTATACTATAGTCCATATACTGTAAGTGCACATCTGAGGTGACTGAAAAAGAGTCACAGAGTGTTTCATTCACCGATGAATTATGTGTTATGCCTTTGAGAGACTTGATGGATGATGTGTGTGGAGACACTATTTTAAGCGTTATGTCAACTGTTGTGCTGTTCAAGCCAGTCTGTGTAGTAGAAGAAATGTGATGTGGAGAGGAAGCTGATTATGATTTACTTGTGAGACATTAGGCCAATTTTACTGCATGGTGTTACCTTGACCATGCCTGATACTAAGTTTGTAAAGTTTTCATTTTGACTGCCAAATTTCATAATATTCACAAATTTTATTTTGATGATGCTTTTATCCAAAGCAACTCACATTTGACCTAATGGTACAGCTGTGTTAGTTAAACAATTCAGATGAAATATGTTACTCAGGAATACAACAGCAATGTCTTTGCGAGGATTTGAACCCACAACCACCCAGTTGTGATTCCAAAACCCCAACCACTGCTTCACCCCAATAAATCAGCTCTTTGACCTATACTTTTGTTCACATTTTCTGTGAATTTGTTTGATTTGTGTTGGAAATATTTTATTAATTCCATTACACTTGAGTGATGAGCTTATATAATGCATCAGTATGTTTGGTCATTACCATTTCTTGAACTCTTCCACAGACCTATCACCTATCAAAATAAATTTGAGGCAAACATATGCCAGATGGCACTTCATATAAAGTGTGACCTAATTTGTACACCTAATTTGTCTTGCTGTTTCTTTAAGGAAAAGCACGAGTGACCTACAGTAGCTTTTCCATCTGTTGTTTTTGACTATTTGACACTATTCCCTGTTAGATAAGCAAAGTGCTTTATGAAAGATTTACTTTTTCTTTAAAACATGCTTCTTGTTTCAGTCTGACCTTCCTGCTATGATAGCAAGTAACATCTCAGCTTCTTCTATTGACTGCCAGTAACCTTTTTAGCTGCAAACTGTCTTAAATTGATTTTTCAGACTAATGTGCTGTATTCTAAATGTTTCATCTGACTTTTCAGTGATTTGCAAGTCAAATCACACTTTCATGCATTTTCACTAATTGAAAACATGTTCATTGATCATAAAAATAGAAAGTTGTGTTCCTAGAATTGGAAGGCTTTATATTTTGGCTTTAGGACAGAAAACTGAATTGGACACACTGATCACAGTTTTGTGGTAAAGTGATGTCTTTAAAACTGTACTTGTAATGAATTTTCTTGGAAAGTAAAAAACAAAACAAAAGAAGAGGACTTACAAAGTGTCTTATCATTTGCCAGGCATCGTAAACGATGGCACACCTGAGCCGCTTGACAGAGGTCTTTGTGAGAAATCATTGACAGAATGTATATCCACAACTCGTCAGGAAGGACAAGCCACAAAAAATGAGCAGCATCCCCTGTCTTAAGTCACATAAAAATTAAATTCAAAAACATAAAATGCATAAAACAACACACAGATATATTAATTTATTGACATTATTACAGCTTCTAAAAAGTGGGTTGCATCTCATAATGCAAAATACAGTTATAACATATGAAATACCTATAAATGTAGATAAAAAATGCTTTCAGCATCAATAATTTAATCTGTTTTGGTGCCTTGCAATAGGGAAGAATACTTGAAAATAGTTTTTTATGAATGGCAACTTTATTATCTTTAATCACTTAGAAGTTTAATGTAAACTTCAATAGTAAAAGACAAACCCCAATTTCCATGTGAAGTCAACAGAGAATTTATTGACAAAAAGATGACATTTAAACATACTGTATTTCATACAGTACTTGAAACATAATAAGATATGAAGAGGATAATATTTATATATTTAAGCAATTAACCATTGAACCCAATAATAAAAACAATAATCATGTTACAACGAAGACAGAATTTTTGGGGTATACACTGTAATTTAAGAATTAGCAGTTTAAGGGCATGATTAGTGAAAAAAAAACATTCATAGATCACAGCTAGCAAAACTGTGTTAATAAAAGGAGAAAGAGCATTTAGATCACAAGTGTTTGATATTAATCAGCTTGGAGTGAGTTATGATAGTCTGTTAGTGTGATAGTCTGGTTATGTGGAAAAGGCAGTTAGATGCTCAAAGAAGAGAACCAAACAAACTCATTTTGCTAAGTGAATCAGAAAAAATGCAAAAATGACATTAACACCTTAACAAAGTAATCAATGTCACAATAACATTTGAAGTATTTATCCAAAGTAATGTTACAAGCAAGCAGTTAACTCCAGACATGTAATTGCAGTAGTGACTGAGCAATTATTTCCTGTAGAATGTTTTTGACAGAAATTGGTTTGAAGGATGACAGCTTGGCCCTATGGACAAGGTGGACAGAACTCCCTGATATCATCTAGGTGGGCTTTAATATACTGCAATTAAATACAAGGCAATGCAACACCATTTAAGGTATGGTGTTGATTGAGATGTAAGATGTAAAGCAAGTCATAATGCTTAATCAAGTGTTTTTGTCCTCTTTAGCCACAGGAGCTTGAGAGACAGAAGGTCCGAATTAAGATTTTTAAGCTTGAACAATATACAGTATTTGCTGATCTTGAATTTGAAGCAATTGACACAGTTCTTGAGCTAGTCAATCAGCTCTAAAAAAAACATTTCTTACAGCCAGTTTAATACGTGAGTTATTTCAAGGATTGTAAAAACAGTATGCTTGAACAGACACAATACTTTTTTTTTTAATAAACTTTTTTTTAATAAAGTGTTGACTTTATAGAAATGTTTGACAAGAAAGAACCAGGGAGTTGGTTATTGTTTAAACCTGTTCTCTGTGTCCTGTATATACACACGGGCACATTTTCTCTGAAGGAAGAACAGCATTATAGTTAAATGTTGTTTCCAAGAGGGAACCAAGCCTCTGAATAACAAAATTCTACTTTCATGCAGATGCTGACAGCATTGTAAACAGTATGTGCTCAACCTTTGAGCATGACTCTTCAAAAGTGAATTAATGTTAATGAACTTTTGTTTGTCCTAAAGCAAACATTACCCTGTGAAATTGATACCTGAAGTCGCCTCAGTTGTGATGCAAGGAAAAAACCTTACAGTACTTTGGAATTTCAAAAGGAAGAATGATCTTATCCGCACCAGACCATCTGAATGTCAAACACGTTCATGAAACATGTCATGAAATCGAGAGCAGAAGGCATGTACAGTAACAGCTGATGAAGAGATACAAGTACAACTGACCATTCTACTGCTAACTACATGCTTTGTAATAGCCTGCACCCTACCAATTGTGTGGTGTAGCGGCGAGGCTTAATAATAAGAAAGAATTAAGTGTTCTGAGCCTTCCCAAATGAGGCCCCATTTCTCTGTTCATCTCTGTTGTGCAGCCACAGAGAAACTATTCATGCAGGCTGATTTAAGATGTTTTCTTTTGATAAGGACAGCTCCCAAAGGGGGATGC